GGGAGAGGTTTTAACTACACGCAATCGAAGAGCGTTCTAACAAAGATGGAATACAGGCCTGAAACAAGTTTTATCAGTTACTAGTTTCTTCAAGTATTGTTTAGGCATGTTCACGAACGCGGGCGACTCTGCCGAACCAAGCGTTCTACTTTGGAAAGCGGGTATCCGCATATTCAGGAACACGAGAGCTTCAGCGACACCGAGCTACTTTTAGAATTTAGTAAGCTCATACTTCAACTCATTTGTTGTTGAAAATCTTCTAATCCAATTGTCTCTTGTTTTTTTTTTTTTTGACAGAGGAAATGGAAAATATTCACTGAAGGTATGTATCGTTTAGAACCTCATATCTTGGGTTCCATACTTCTTCCTGTGTAGTCTTTTTAATGTAACAATTGATTGCCTTTCATAACAGTGCAAAAACTGTTGAGATATGGTTAAGGTACTCCTGTTAAGAGAAAGAGTGTATGTGTGAGAAAGCACATGTACGTACACGCATGGTTGTCTGTTTGAAATTCCAATCTTTGTATGGAGGCTTGCTGGTTTGTGGTGACTGCATATCTAGCTACCCTCGGAAAAAATAGTCCAGTAGAAGTTGGTAATGTAAATTAGAGATAGATCAAAAGCCACTCCAACAATGGCTTTACAAGGTTCTCTAAGGAGTTGGTAGCGTTTGATTTCTCACCATTATGGGGGTAAGATTGTAAACTGGTGCTTTTTTTCAAATGATTTATAATCAGTCCATTGTCACTCATTATAAACGTTATAGCTACTTGTTACTTGAGCCTAAAATAATTTTTGTTCACTGCAGCCGTTAACTCGCAAGTACCTACGGTTGTCCTCACAGGCAACTGTGTTACATCTCAAAAAATTTCTCGCAAAGAAGTTAAGTCTGGACGACCACAAAGACGTGAGTGAACCATTTGTTTTTGTGATCATGCATGGATATTCATGGTCTCAGAATAGCTGGGCACATATAGTGGGTTTTAAGGGAATTGAAGAAATTTATTCTTGAAAGAAGTCGTCAAGCCACTAGGCAAAAAGCGTGATTACTTGGAAATATTCACAGATTTCCAACGAAAGTTAGTGGCAGGGCGTGATCAGAACCCGCGCGCTCCAAAACAAGTTCAGTGTCCTATGCTCAACGTCTATCACGCTAGTCGACGATGCCAAGCATCTTAGAACTTCTCTTACTTTGGGTCGCTGAGGATAGCTTTTCTCGGTTGAGGTCCAATGAAGAGGAAGTATATTTACGCAAGCTGTCATCGTTCACTTTGCTAACGAGGATTAGGAAGTGCTCCTTTCTTTCTCTGGTTCGGATTGAGTAACGCGTTTAAATCGCAATGAGCGTATTTACCTTGACTTAATCATATTTGCAGGTTGATATCTTATGTAATGACGAAATTCTTGGCAAGGACCACACGCTTAAGTTTATTTGTGTCACGAGATGGAGATTTAAGGTATAAGCAGAGGAATGATTGTTGGTAAGGGAGAAGTCCCAAACCAAAGTTATTTTTGGTCAAGATTGTTTGTGGTAATATAAAGCCTTTTGCTTTAGCTCGACACTACACGGAAATAGGACTTGGGGGACGGGGGGAACCTATCTCTATTGCTCAGTCTCAAATCATTTGCGCCATTCACACACGTTTTTAGTCCTTCGCAGTCATTTACCCTTTCCAACTGTATGGCCATTAACGCTTTGCCAAGGGTCGAAGATGCATCCAATTTCAATTCGACCAAAACCTCTAACCTCCATTCTAGTTTTTCCGTTGTCTGATCAAAAGCGTGGACAAATAACATCTCTGTAACTCTTTCCATACGAGGAGAAGGAGGTAACTAAGAGCTATTTACATTCAAAGACTGATAAACATCTCTAACACGAAATCATCTGAAATATTTTACTCGTTTTCTCTTAAGGGTTGTCCGCTTTTACTCCATTACAGACCAAGTCTCAAGTTGTTTTAGTTCCAATGCATCACAAACTGACGGAGAATTCTCTTCAAGCCCCCACTCCGAGCAAACCGTCGCTTCCGTAAATATCTCTGGACAAGCTGTCGTGCTAACAGCTAATAATGAAAATATATTCCAAGAAAGCCAGGACAGTAAATCGTCCTGCACTTGAACACATGACGGGCAAGTAGAGCTCAATCACTCGACCAGCATACCACAGAAAAGGCGTAACTAAATCAATAAATTTATTTCTAAATTTTTAAGTCACATTTTATAACTAAAGTTTTCCAAATGGAAAAATTTCAAATTGTGATCATGACCTTGTCATCATTTGTATTACAATATTATGCATCATAGCTATTGTAACCTACGCGTTCATGACAAAGTTTCGTGTCATTGAGATACTTCATTTGTATTACAATATTATGCATCATAGCTATTGTAACCTACGCGTTCATGACAAAGTTTCGTGTCATTGAGATACTTCATTTGTATTACAATATTATGCATCATAGCTATTGTAACCTACGCGTTCATGACAAAGTTTCGTGTCATTGAGATACTTCACTTCTTACGCCCGAGGAAATTGACAGGGATAATTGCTTTAAAAAAGATGGAAGTAAATATTTATTGTACATTAGACACGGTATTCATTGTTCCGTGTTGTATCAGACAAAAAGAAACAGATATTTGATGATTTTTTGTCTTTTTTGCCGTTCCCCTATTCCCTTAAACCTCTCACTCCCAGATGGCGTCAGTGATACATCTTACCTTCTGCAATACAACTGTCACGATGTTGGTTCGGAGAATTTGGCATTGGATCAACCAATAATCCCGTAATTGATATTTTATCAATTCCCATCACTTTTCTGTTTGATATTGTGAGGAGAAATTTTGTCTCGGTCACTCGTGGCTAAAATATAATTACTTCAGCATGACGATTCAACACTACTTTCCTATATCGATCACAGGTAAAAACTGGTTTTTGAATGAATTCCCAGAAATCAAACATCCTTTCAACTTTCAAAGTTACCCGTAGTAACGGTAAAACGTGGAAAAAAAAAAACACTAAGGTGATAATAAATCCATGGCCAAATATTTCGCACATAAAAGGGTCACGATAACAACTGCTTGATAATTTAAATTGGCCGCCGTAAGAGTTTCTAAAACGTTTCGCGCGTTAGCCCTTGGCTAGATGATAAAACCAAATTCTCTTGTATTCCTCGCCACTGACACAGTACCACAGTTTCTTGCGAAAGTTAGCCCTTTACTCATGATAAATAACGTACTGCACTGTTCTTGTGATAGACTGCTTTGTTTGCTTGCTTCTCATAACCCTTTCAACCCTGAGAGTGATCAGCAGCTAATTTCTCCTTACCGTTTTACTGTTGAATCATTCATTAAGATCATGAGAAAAAGGGAAATGATCGCCAACCTAAGAAGCTTTGATTGTTCAACAAATTCTCTTGGTCAGTTCCAAAGGAAATGTATAGAGAACAGTATGGAGAATATAGATTTTGAAGTAAGGGTGTAAAGGGTTATGTTCACTAGTATTGTGGGTATTTGTTTGATACCCAGTGCTAGCCCTGATCCACAAATCACAAGCAGTGCAAACTGTTATGAAGCAGAGTCTATGAATTTCCAGTTTTTCTTTATACTTCGTCTTATTTTTGCTTTTTTGTTTTGGCTTTCAAGCGACCGTGCAAAACATGGACTCGGGACATACCAGTAGGTGGGAAGAGTTCAAAGAAGCAAAGGAAGCGTAAAGGCTGCCATGAATCCTTCTCATCTTAAGCTCTTATCTCGTTACTCCTTATCTACACGTAAACAATGTCTAATCCACTTCTCTGGATAAAAGCTAAACAAATTTTCCTAAAACACAATTATGATTGACAACAGTGTCGAAATATCCTCTTGACCAATGAATTAACGACACTGCCGAACATGTCTCAAATTAATTACAGATTGTGTTGTACTGACCCCATTCGCACCAAGGCTTAAACAGTTTTAAAGCTTTTTTTAGATACAATGAAATATATGAAGTTCGTATATTTTGAGCTGCGGTATTAGATACGTATGATGCACGATCCTCGCAGTAGATAGCGCTATTTAAGCAATAGCGAAAATCAGACCTGAAAAAAATCAGGCCTGTACGGGATTCGAACCACTGCGAGAATAGTGCATCATACGTATCTAATACCGCAATTCAAAATATATGAACTTCATATATTTAATTGTATCTGATTTATCACTTTCACAGGTTTCTTACGAATCAACTCAACGGCCTGCTCCCAGTTGGCTTGTTAGCTCAATTGGTAGAGCGCTGCACTAGTATCGCAGAGGTCAGTGGTTCGAATCCCGTACAGGCCTGATTTTTTTCGGGTCTGATTTTCGCTATTGCTCAAATAGCGCTATCTACTGCGAAGATCGTGCATCATACGTAAAGCTTTTTTTGTTAAACACGGTTTAAAATTTATTTTAATTTTGTTTTGCTGGTGTGAATGGGGTATTTGTCTAGGATCAGCCTCTCCTTAACCTTACGAACCCGCGAGCCGGCCGCCTTCATTATTACCGTAGCACCCTCCCCCGTGGAGAAACAGAAGGGAGGGAACGGGGGGTGGGTGCACCTAAACGTAGGCTATTATTACCGCTCCCGTAGGAAAGGCAAGCCTGCGAGAGGCCTGCAAGTGGTCTGGTAATAAGGGTGAGGGCCCGCTCGCAGGTTGTTCCTCATCAGCTTAGTCTGTCACGCATGTCAAAAGAAGAAGTCGGCACATTTCACTTAACAGAGAGCTCGTTCTCAGAGTCTGCGCGGCACCAACGGATTTCTTGTAACGAAAGGAGTGAAATCTGTTGGTCGAAAGAAGCTGCTGTGGTCTACGAAGTATTAACTCCACAAGACACTCGGCTCGTTAAAAACCCACGCCGTATGCATGACTAAGTATGACTTATCATCATTGTTGGGTCAAGATGGCTGAGTATTGGCCAAATTCTTCTTTCGCGTTTCATGGGTCAAGATTTAGACTAAGAAAGGCTTAAGGCAAAAAAAGAGTATTTCACAAATTCTAAGCGTGCACGCATCGATTGATTTTCGATAATCAATTACCCACAAAAGAGTACTGGGCGGTGCAGTCCGTGACTCCATGGTACTGGTGACGACATGTTGGCCTCACATTTTCTGATCCACTCATGTTGTTCCAGAAGATAAGAATACTACTAGCTTTAAGAAGGTTAACCAACAAAATTTGCAGTATACTCGAGCTTATCGTGAGTTTTCTCTGGCCACAGCAAAAGGAAAATTCCATTCTTAGCCAACATCAGTCCTTCTGATAACAACGACTGAAGATAAAACGTGGTGAGCGAACAACTCAATTATTACTATCAAAATTTTTATGCACTGATGTTCCGTATCCTACAAAGTTGACATTTTCGTTGTCTTTTTCTTTGTTTAATTGAGGCATCATCCATTCAGCGCAGGTGTCGTCTTGCGAGGACTCGTTTAAAGTATGACAGTTCTTAGGAGATGTCATGCACACGGTAGTGTAAAACCATAGGTGGTGCCTGGGGGAAAAGACAGAAGGTGGATTCAAGATTCAATCTAATAGAAAGAAAAAAAAAAGCAAAAAAGCAAAGCTTTTGCGGGACGCAGTGACTTCATAAAGATAGGGAATAGTAGTTAATGGTACAACATGCTGAGAATGTCGAAGTTTAAAGAAAGAAAGAGGCTCGCATTCACAAAGCAGTGTCCAGATTACTATTAAAACTTCTCCTTATATTAAACCTACACTAATCCTTATTAGTAGGAGGCAGGTTGGTTGGTTTCACTCACAGAGGGTAACCAAGACATCAACAACTTGGGCATCTTGTAAACTCCTTTGGAAAGCAGAAATAGTGGCAAACCACAAAGTTTGGTGTTTCCATAAAAGGGTAAGTAAATTTTTTATCATACGGCATAAAATTCGATGTCTATTCCACAGATCACCCTCCCCCCTATTACACACACACACACACGCACACGCACACGCACACGCACACACACACACACACACACACACGCACACACAACAGAAAGACAAATAGTACAAAAGTATATAATCACCTTGCCCAACCACTCACTTATCCAAATGAACTTCATGGTTCTGAATGGATGAATCACATGTTCATTACACACAATTTCCACCTATAGCATGTAAATATACCATCTCTGAGTTCAAACATATAGCACTAAATTGTAAAGCTGATAACAGTTGAGCCTACTGACGTAAATTGCTTAGCTACCAGAGGTCATCCAAGTTTCTGTTGCAAGAAGAAACAAGGGGTATTCTTCAGCCTCCTCATGGATAAAATTATAGTCAATGAGAGGTTACCTTCAAGCACCTTTGTCAGATTTTGCTAACAAAGTCTTGGTACCCATTTGCAGTATATTTCTGGGTGGCACCACAGGGTAAAGTGACTCACCCAAGAACACTGGTCAGGGCTTAAACAAAATTCTGAAGAAATGAGGTTCTGTCAGATCACAATAAAAATTTTGCCTACCTCTTTTTCACGGGGAATATTGAGCTTCAATCGCAAAAGCTTCTGAAGTTGAACCACCATCATGCGAGCTGAACATCGTATGTATTTCTTACTTAGTGTCTATAGGTATAAAACACACACATAAACAAGGAAAGTACACAAAAGCATCAGCTCTTTGACTAAATCTTTCCACTGCCAACTTTAAAAAAGATTTCATTGATAGGAAAAAGTGGGCATTGCCTGCGAGGAAGGACCTCTTAAGTCAAAAAAATGAGGTGGAGGTTGAAGTGATGAAAACATGTTGATGACAAAGGAACTGTAATGCTGCTTCCAAGGGGGAGTAGGTAAGGTAAAGCCTGTTTCCAAGCCAAGTGGCCCATTGGGCCAGCACTTAACTCCTGTTTCCTTGGCATGAAGTGACTTAAAGTACCTCTACTCCCCCCTGGATGGAATGCTTGTCCATCACATGGTTACCCCCAGCATTAAATTTGTTGATACCCATTTATACTCCTGGGTCAAGAGAGGCACTGTGAGAGTGAAGTGTCTTGCCCAAGAACATAACATAATGTCCCTGGCCAGGGCTCGAACCTGGACCACTTGATTGCGAGTCGAGCACATTAACCATGAGGCCACCGCACCTCAACAAGGGAGAGAGGGGGAGTATAACAAGATAATTTGGTTTTATCAAAATAGTTGATAATATTTTGATATCAAAATTAAAATCAGCCACAGTAAAGAGTTTTTAAGTTGATCTCTTGAGTGTTAACCCTTTGTCAGAGCAAGGCTCAAAATGTCAGCTTAGAGAATCTTCATGCAGTTGAAAACAATTTACAAATAAGTGATAGAAACTTACTCCCACAGTTGTCGCTGGTCCATTAATATCTGTCCCTTCTTCATTTTCTTCTAGGCTGCAACCGAAAAAAAGCAAACAAGCAAACATTAATGAAGCTGAGAGCATCATTCTTTGAAAGTACAGTGCAACAAAAGGACTATATACTGAGCTGTTCTCTGTATGTGTAAGAGAAAATAGCAAACTAACATTTTGCATTTGTGAATAAATTATACAACTTTTGATAAAAATGAAAACACTGGGTTTGCCTATATTTTTGCCACCAAACAAGACCACAAATTTTACAGCCTGTACAGCAGAACTACATAATTTTGGGTAGAGAGCACTCAATTTTTCTCTATAAAAGGCTTGGTAGCTATCCTAGACCTTTTAGGCAAGAAGAATTGGGAACATAGTGAAATGAAAAGGAGGCTCACAAAAGACAAGAGGAGAGAAAGGAAAGGGGCATCTCTCTTTCCCTTTCTGTCCACTTAGATCCAATATCAAACATGGCTGCTCTATGAATGATCCTAAGTTTGTAATGCTAAGATGCACACTCTACAGGCTTCTAATTTAAAAGAAGCCAGTGAAGGTCATTGCATCACCAGAAGCTTTATAACTCCAAGTACTCCACTTACCTCTCTTCATATTTCTCGACACACAGTGAAACTTGCTCATCCTCTCTGTACAAGTTTTTAGCCTCAGAGTAGTCTCTTTTAACCACAGTTTCCCTAGTTGGCTTTTCATTCTCATTTTCATCTAAATTTAAATACAATCAGTTTTTTACATTCATTGCTTAATTAAAAGTGAATGTTAATAATATAATATAACTGCCTCCTGGTTAGCTCAATGGATAGAGCACTGGACTGTTGTGCAGGAGGTTGAGGGTTCAAGCCCCGGCCGGACTAACACTCAGGGTCTTAAAATAATTGAGAAGAATTTGCTGCCTTTCTATAACATCAAGAAATGGTTAGATATTCTAGTCTTCTCGGATAGGGACGAATAAATGGAGGTCCCGTCTCCTGCAGGGTTAGGGGTAGGAGATGTTAATTTCCCACACAGGAGATTACTGTGTGATGGATGTCCTCCCCTGGGGTGGGATGGGTGGGTTTATTGGGCCCGCAGTAATCGGCGCAAGCTGTTGCGGTGTCCCTGCCGGTTGGCGAAGCTAAATAAGATAAAAATAAAGTTTTACATGGAGATATAACTTAAACCTAGTAAGTACATAAGCAATAAGAATGGCTTTAACCGTTTAACTTCCAGAAGTGATCAACATCTCCCCATAATATCTATACATTATCCAGCAAATAGGTAATGAGAATACTCAAACTTATCAGGTAGAAGTTATCTTTATCTAACAACAAATTCTCAAAACTAATTTTCAAGGAAATGTCAGCAGCCAGAGGGGAGAATTAACAATCAGGTCTCAGGAGTTAAAGGGTTAAACCTAATAGGCCATTTCCGAATTATGTTAGGCCTCTCTTTCAAAACAAGGCCTGGTGCTCAACCATACATATGAAAATGAGTTTAAATTGCATGTGAATGAAAACTTATTACCATACGAAAGAATGAGCACCAGGACTCGCTTTGAAAAAGAGGCTAAAGGTAATTCGGAAATGGGCTATTGTGCAAGCAATGTTGATAGCTCTAATGCAAGTTGAAGAAAATTTATTTTGAAAATCGCATAATATTATCAACATATATTTTATGCAAACCACCATTACTCTGAGCAGGTTTTTCTACAACCATTCCTCTTGAAGCATAAAATTCCCGCCTTCTTTTCTCTTCAGCTAAAACAAAGAAAACAAGTGATTAGTATGAGTGTTACTTTTTCCAGGTTATGAAAAAGTATTTACTTTGCATAGTTTACAAAGAAAACTATATATACTATTAGTCTTTTTTTAGTACTAAATACAATAATAATGGGGAATGATTATGGGGAGACCCAAAATTTAGGATTTGTGACTTTAGAATGGCAGACACAATGGCAGATGTAAGTGTCTCAACTCACTTTCTCCTGAGGAAAAAAAAAAACATGTAACCTGTAATGATTCACCTCTCTAACAAAGACAGAGAGAAAAACTACTAAGGAAAATATTGTTTTGTATTTGCAGCAATCAGATGTTACTTGAGAGCAACTTCTTAACTACAATTTATGACATGCATTACTGTTTTTTATAACAAGATTGCAAATTTTGCAATACAAAATTTTTCAGAATATACTCTCACCACTGAAACCAAGCCATGAAGGCTTCCTTCAGGTGATGAAAAGAAATACATATATTAAATGAATTCATTTTTAGTGGTATGGAACATTGCTATATCTTATTCTACTAAATATGAAAAATAACACTTTAAAATGACAATGAAAAGCAAAGATTCATTGCAACAGAAAACCAGGCATGCAAAGGATAAGGTGGCAGGTTTTACCTTCAAGAATGCCAGGGACAACTTTAGCCACAATATCCTGCATTGTTCTATCTAATCTGTAAGGTTGTCAAAACATACATTTAACACTCATTCATTCACCTCAAGCACATAAGGTAATTTCACCACTAAAATGCAGTCAACCCTTAAAAATTTTGAGGCAGATTAACTATCCTTACAACATCAATACATGATATTCCGGGGTTCATACCCTTTTCCTGAAACACATTTCAAATTTCTAAATTTCAAATTTTCAAATTTCAAATTTCACCTTAAACCCTTTCATTCCCAAGATCTTAAAATTAATTCTACTTATCAGGGCTCAACACTAACTTTCAACTTACTAGCCAAGTGGTTAGTAACAACTTACATGTTACTATCAATTTTAGTTTGTTTACTAGCCAAACTGGCCAGTGGAAATAAAAAATCACAAGCAAAAACTGAATTTCTACTATTCTGTGGCTAGTTGACTACTGTTAGTGTCGAGTCCTGCTTTTGATTCACATATACTTCTTGTGTTGTAAATTCTAACTTTCCCGATTTTCCATTACCTGTATGAACCCTGTATTCTGTATATAGAAAATGGAAACAGACCAACTAAATAGTTAGAGGGTGTTATCTCAGTTATCTTGATTTAACACAAGACTTCCCTCCCTAATTTGCAGCATAAAGTATGGAAGCTGGGGAGAGAAATAATTACAAATCATGTGCCCAGAGTTACAGAGCTAAGGCAGATACAGATTACTATTGAGTCCAGGTCAAGTCTAGTTTCAGTTTTATAGCCTTCAAATTGGAAAAAGATTTCACCTGTATATATGATCCACGGTGAGTACTACAAAAAAAGTTGTGTAGAATGTGGGAGCCATCCATCAAAATTTCAATAAAATTTGTTGTGAATTACCTGAGATTGAAAAGGGGTTGGGTTTCATGTATCTGCAAGTTGCACATTGGACAATTCTTGCTGGTTTGGAAATATTTCACAATACAGCTCTTGCAAACTGGAATTGAAAAACATTAGTATCAATTACACTTCATGACATTTGTTGTATAATGTACATGTTTGTTTAATAGTATTATGCATAATATTTTAGGTTATTATTTGAGACTTGTAAGCTTGAGAGAACTCAGTTTTTGTCAACATAGTGTTGGTAATAGATAGAATTAGAAAGATGGTAAATTTTGAGCCTGGTGAAGAAATAGTGAAAGATGGTTTTTTGTCTTGTCTCAAAAGACTTAGAAAAATTTCTGAGTTCCTGTGAGGATTCAAACCTCAGACCTCCAGAATCCATGCTCCAATGCTCTATCACTGAGCCGCCTCCCGGTTAGCTCAATTGGTTAGAGCACCGGATTGTGTTGTGCGGGAGGTCGAGGGTTCAAGCCCCGGCCGGACCAATACTCATGGTCTTAAAATAAGTGAGGAGAATTTGCTACCTTTCTATAATCGAGAAATGGATAGATATTCTAGTCTCCTTGGATAAGGACGAATAAACTGTAGGCCCCGTCTCCTGCAGGGTTAGGGGTAGGAGACATTAATTTCCCACACACGACATTACTGTGTGGTGGATGTCCTCCCCTGGGTGGGATGGGTGGGTGTTGGCCCTGAAAAGCCCCTATGGCGAGTGGTCAATTAACCTATGCATGTATGTATGTATGTATGTATGTATGTAAGCCGAATTGCAAAGGTGTTTAAGTTCGAAAAGGTCATTTGCTCATGTCCCTTTGTTTTGCATACACTCTATTCCACAATTAATAAAAAAAAAATGTAAAATCATATTTCAAAAATTCAGTCGCTTAAGACTTAAAAAAAAAAAAAAAAGAAAAACATACTCTTGTTTGAAATAATTACACCAAATAGCCAGCCATCAGTGGATATGTATTAACAATTTCATATCATGATAAACACTGTTTACATACATGTGTGGAGACATTCAGTAATAGTTGTAGCATCAACAAAGTATCCGGCACAAAGACTACACACCACGTGAGGGTTCAGATCACAGATTCTTATGACGACCTACAGTTGAAAAATAAAATGGTACTTCAGTATCTTCAAGAACATGGAATGCCAATGCACGTTATGTAGCTAATGATTCGTACATGTAATCAGATTTGATGATCCACACTCAAATGTAGTTTGGTAGATCAAAGATCCTGAATGTAGCTGATTTTTGGTACCTTTTGGACTACCCTTGCATTTGCAGAGTCCTTCTACTAAATCATTTTCAACCGTTTACTGGTTCGCTACAGAAAGAAGAGAATACGCCACACTATTGGCATCTCGTCTAAAAAGGATAATCAGACCGAGATACACGTAAATATATATTCTCAGGGATTCCTTCGTAGTTTCCTTAGATATCGATATGCATTCGATTCCAGTATGTTCAGAACTGAGCTCACAATCGCTAAAATGGAACTTTTTCGTTTTCATAATTAAGGAAAACGTGATCGCACCGTTGACTATTAATCTGAGTCTTAGCATCGGTTAAAAAACTGGCGAACATACAGCATTATTCTTATATGTCATGTGGGGTTAGAGAATAAGAAAACTGTACCTCCTTGGAGTCCATTGCCCCCGTCAATTCCCAAACATTAATAATTCACAATATTTCCGCCATCTTTAATATCATTCCCAGGTTCCGCGCGTTGGAAAGCCAACACATTAAGGTGTTGATATTCTCTTGCTTCCTAGGTAATGGCCAAAGCGCTAAGAAGGAATGACGTTTGCAGGCACCAGTCTAGTTCCTCTTTTTTAATTTATTTACTTGCTTGTGCAAGCCCTAAATTGATATTAATTGTTGTAATAAAAGAAACCAGGAAAAAGTAGGTGCCGCACTAGCTCCGAAAAGGAGGGGCTTTTGTTAAATTTCTTTGAAATGATGATTAAAGAGATCGCGACGTATTCTTTTTAAGTGTTCAAACACTGAGGAAGGCAGAGTAACCAACTCTAACAAGAGGCTCTAAGAGTCTGAACTGTAACATAAGGCTTTAATATAATTTTTCTTTTCAACATGATTCTTCTAAGAGGGGGACATTGGGATTTTCAGTTTTGCGGTTTTGGCTATTTTTTAGATCGGTTTTTCGGTTTTTGTGCTTAAAAACGTCGGTTTTTCGGTTTTGGTATTCATTGCGGTTTGCGGATTTTCCATTTTTAAGCATTTAGGGGGCGACCATTTAACTTTTGAGGGGGGATGAGTGATTTCTGGTCATCAAAAATTTTTTTTTCTAGCAATCTGCTGGGCAGGATATTTTTTTCCGTTTTTTGTTTTTGGTACATTTTTTCTGTTACATTTGGGCTGCATGCAATTTTTTTCTTCCAACAAGCGCTTGCAGGAAATTTTTTTTCAAAATCACCCACCTCCCCCCCCAAAGTTAAATGGTCGGCCCCTTGGTTTTGGATTTTCGCGAAAAATGCTAACGAGTTTTGTTTTCGGATTTGATATCCGATGCGGTTTCCGGTTTTTCCTTTGTAACCTATTTGGTTTGGCCAGTTGAAAAATATGGACTGAATTCTGGACTGAATTCTGGACTGAATTCTGGACTGGACTGGACTGGAATGTACTTTTTTTTTTAATTGTATTAATATTAAATGGAGTTAATATTTTACTAATTATTTTTAAATTTTAAAAAAAACAAAAATTAATCTAAAAGATTATCCGAACGCTCCTCTGCGATAGCGCGTGGCTCGCGCGATATAAAATTTGTTCTGCGTGCAGCCTGCCGGTGAGTGAAATATGCTTTGTTTCTAAGCTTGAAAAGTGTTGACAGATTCAAAACACGGAATAACGAGTTACAGTACCCTGTATGCGAAAAAAATAAATAAATTGGAGAAAACGGCCGACTGTAGTGCATTTTACAGAACAATTCGATGTCAACATTTTACATTCAAATTCGTCTATAGATTGGCCATGTCCACGCGAGGCCCACGCGAGAAAACTTCCGCTATCTAGCGTGCGATTGTCAGTAAAAAAGCCGCTTTTGTTTTCAGAGGTTCTGTTCTGGGAATATCTGGATCATATTGGTTACTGCCGGACAGGTGTGTTCACAACCGTATTGGCAAGTTTAAGATTAACAATCCGATAAGACACGTAATCTCTCGAGTGCGATTGCCACGTTTCATGCATTAGGTTCACTTTGCAAATTCCAGAAGAATGAGTTCTAAACAGTTGCCTTATTCCAAACATTTGTGTTTAGTCAGATTAGCTAGATGAATAAATGAATTACCTTTACCAGCACTTCGATCGAGTTCCTGGTGGCCAGGGCAGTGGCTTCTTCTTCATTTTCTTCCTGGAGTTTTCTCCACCGGGAATTTGTCAACGGAGTTGACTGATCGTCTCCATTGACAACACTAGCGTATGTACGCTCGGATCTAGCCTTCTCTTCTCCATTGTCAGGGGAACCACTACTTCCCCAATTCCACAGTTCATTTTTTAACACAGAGTTGACAGAAAGGAAATAACGTGGCAATCGCACTCGCACTCCAGTGCCTTTTCATTAGTCCATAAACGACAAGAAACTGTCTTTGGCTTCTTAGACTTCTTAACTCTCTAGATATCATCAGTTAGGAAGCCACCAACCCTTTGAGCTTTAAAACTCTAGAGATGGGTAATATAAACAACTAACTATTGCATTTTCCGTCGCATTTAGTTACAAAAAAAGCTCAACGGAAATAGCTCGAAATGACATTTCCGAGACCCTAAATTTCAAAATTTTCTGGGGGAGCATGCCCCCAGACCCCCCTAGTTTGGGGCGCCTTCGGCGCTGGTCAATTTCCGCGCTATGCATACACCTCCGAAATCTCACGCTACCCCCCTGCTATATATATAATGTATGGCTCATTTAGGACGATACAGACTTAAAGAAGACTTACAGTCCATACTATGGCAGGCCGTTTGTAGCAATATTCAAAAATTCTTTAATTCAACCATTCCACTGCAATTCAACCGTTCAATTCAACCCCCATTCAACCATTCAAGAATCTATTCAACTATTCAACCCTAATTCAGCTATTCCATTCAATCCCGCATTCAGACCCGATGGTTGCAGGACTGAGTAACCTGACATAATTACACGAAAGACGTCCTAAGACGTCTGTTATCATGGTTAACTTGGAATTGTTACACGACTGGGGCAGTCAGAGGGCTAATAATTAAATTCAACCAATCAAAATGCTCTTTTGCCGGTCAATATTCTTTCAGTATTGGACCGGGGCACTGTCCCGAATGGTTCCGAATGGTACCGCACTTGTGTCCCTTTGAACTTCAGTCTTACAATAAATCTCTTATCAACCAAGCTTTCTCGGGACCGTACTGGAAGAATATCGGCCCTCGGTCTTTTTTGTACGGACCTTGCTGCGCTCGGTCCGTACTGTCAAGACCTCGGGCCGATATTCTCCTAGTACGGCCCTCGCGCTTGGTTAATAAGATATATATATATATACCTTCGATTGACATCTATAGCAATATAACGTATTTCTTCAGACAGGTTCAATAAAATAATTAAATCAAAATTTAATTAAAAAGACCGAAAAGTTTTGTTGGCCAGAGATACACACTAAGATGGGCTGCCTGTGGTTTCCCAAAGTTCTTTGCAGAAGTTCCTCAAGTGTTTCAGAAGATATGTTGTACGATGGCCTCCTGGGTGAAGAAATATTTGCTTGTCTGTTTGAGCCCAAGTTAGCGATAGGCAGTTGTGGTAATGGAAGCCAGAGACAATAAATGGTTCCAGCCTTGTAAAATATCATCAAAAGCGGACGTAATTTTTTGCAACTGTGTTTTCTCGTTATCTTCAAACTGGAAACAATCTTCCAGCTTTCTTAACAAGGAGATTGTTTGTCAAGTGTTACGGCATGCTTTTCCAATGGTTCCACCTCGAAAGGAATCTTACATAACTGAGTCGTCTTCTTTAGGATGTGGTTTAAAAAACTAGGTATTTCTTTTAGCTCAAATTGCTGTGCATCTGCCGCTATCTTGCTTTCTATGATAACTTAGGTTTCAAGCTCCAGCTCGGTCGTCTTTCGTGCCAGGTTCCCCAGTCTGCCAGTTGAATGGTTGAATGCGGGATTGAATGGTTGAATCACAGGCGGCCCAAGCTCTCTTTGAGAACCACACAAGGAACACAATTTGCATATTTATAAGGATTTGTATGGGATTTTCTAGAAGATATCCACAGAGATAGTTTAAAGTGAAAATATTAAAAGAAAATGGCTTACCTTGTTCCATACGTGTGTTGTTTGCTCCTGGTGTGATTATTTTACCGATTTCACTTGATTTAAGCGGTTTTTATTAATCCTGGTTTTCTACTACATAAAGAGAAGTCTTCTCTTTAGTCTTCTCTTTAGTCTTCTCTTTATGTAGTAGAAAACCAGGACTAATAAAAAACCGCTTAAATCAAGTGAAATCGGTAAAATAATGACACCAGGAGCAAACAACACACGAATGGAACAAGGTAAGCCAGTTTCAATTAATATTTTCACTTTAAACTATCTCTGTAGATATCTTCTAGAAAATCCCATACAAATCCTTATAAATATGCAAATTGTGTTCCTTGTGTGGTTCTCAAAGAGAGCTTGGGCCGCCTGTGGTTGAATGCGCGATTGAATGATTGAATTGGGATTAAATAACTGAATGGGGTTGAATAGTTGAATTGGGGTTGAATAGTTGAATTGGGTTGAATAGTTGAATGTCTTGAATAGACTCTTGAATGGTTGAATGGGGGTGTTAAATGACTGAATTGGGGTTGAACTGAACGGTTGAATTGCAGTTGAATGGTTGAATGAAAGAATTTTTAAATATTGCTACAAACGGCCTGCCATACCTTACACTTAGAATACGCGATATCTACACCTATGATAAATTGGAAATTCGCGATCGGTTAGGAAGATCATGACTAATTACCACGAGCGTCTGTTCCATGGCGGGGAAGCAACGAAAAAGAAAAAAAGAGCGTTTCAAGGCGATTCACTCTTATTGGACCTCGAGAGAGCAGCTGAAATAAAGCCTATGATTTAAGCAGATACTAGAAGATACGAATGCTAAGTCCGTGGCATTCACAAATACTGTGAATATAGTTTACTCTATCCACTTGTCACCACCGTATCGGATCGATCAGGGTTTTAATAACTGGGATGTGAAAATGTATCGGTTTTGACAGTTTGGATGCGGTTTTCGGTTTTGATCGATTTTTCAATTATTTCGGTTTTTCATTTTTGGATGATTTTATTCTACGGTTTTGGGGTTTTTAATAGGCTCCAATGCCCCCCACTTCCTTGCTCTTTCGTAACTCAAGTTGCTTTCAGTCTAAACTAATATGACAAATGTCGTATGATACGACCCCACTATGACTGGTCTCCTAAAATAACAAAATTATAGGAACGTTTGAGTTTAGGAATCTCTCAAACCTCATTGGATTTTGATGACTTCCCAGTTACTCACGAGATCAGCGAACTTTAGCTGAAAGTAAGCAAAATAAAGTGAAACTTACGTGACCTACCGACAAGGGAGAATCATTATCAATGACGAATAAAGGCGGAATAGAAATTGACGCAACATGAGGCTAAGATTGGAAATTATAATTGATATTCAAAGCCCAGGTCATCAAGAATGAAGCTGACGCACACTCAGACAAGTTGCCCAAAGATCGCAATAAAGTTTGGACACTACTTACGACACCAAAGTCTTAGACCTATACTTGACCATGCATCAAAGATATCCTTGGGCTCAAAACATTACGAGACCTAAACCAAGCACATAAAAAAAAAACTTCCTATTTGCCTTAACGTGCCGCGGAAGAAATGCGATGAAACACGTACCGTATCTGATATTTACATTGTCCATCGACCAGAATAACAACTGATTGTAAATTTTGAGTAGGTAATTGATGGAAAGCACTGCCATAAAGTCGTTTACGTTTGTTGCAAACAGTTCAAATTTTATTTAGGGTCATATTGCGAATGACAAATATCAATAGCTTGCGTGTAAAACACAGAGCAGACAGGAGGCCAGGTCAGACTGGTAAATAGAGCGTGGATGCTAGAAGGAACACGTGTGTAAAGTATTCATTGGTCAAGATATCACTATCATTCCTCTAGTTCAACTATACTTTATTCAGTAATCAAGATGATATGTTACCGTACAATACTCGTAATCAGTTATTTTACGTTTACTTAGGATGGTAGATTTACGGCATGACTGGACGTTACTTACAGTGGTAACGCTATGTGACCTTATGTAGCGCAATACAACACAACGCGAGGCCGACGCATGTCACGCAGGTTTTATGTCAGTTGCGGTACGCTTTTGATGATAAGAGACCATGGATGTGTAAAACGAATAGCCTAAGAGGTACACTTTTTACCTCTCGATCCACCCAATGTATAACTGTATCATGACATATTTCCCTTCAACAAGAAATGATATTTTAACATTAATTTACTTCCCTCTCCGGTGGATATAAATACTCTTAATAGAAAACTCGGTAGGGACAGAAGGACCTATAGTTTACACCTGATGTGTATGAGAATCATGAGACACACGTTGGATCGGTCACTTAACTTTTGCTTCCAGTGATACGAGCCAATCACATATTGCAAGCAACCGCCACTGGGATACTTTCGCATTTTATTCCAAACACAGCACCCAAAATATATATTAAGAGAGTAGTAAAGTAAGCAGCCGAATCGTCATTTACAACGTCCAAACTCAAATGGACAAGTAAAAACGTTGGTGGAAAAACTTTCAAGCTGAATCGGGAGTGTGCAGAATGTCGAGCAACTAAAAGTGACATCACTAGGGCACTTCGAATTCAGGCGAGCGAGTCTTGTGAAGGAAGGAAAATAGCTCAGGTCTGCAGAGCAAAGTCTGACCATCTCTCAGACTGTGCAGACACCGGACGGGTGAACAAAATTACTATCGTTAAGACGAACCTGTCGCGTCGGCTCTCGAAAAAGAAAGGCGGGCCAAACAGCAGTGGGTCTTGGTGCTCCAACGGGAAGTTGTTGAACAGAGGAACGTTAGACTTGCAGTTGAAGCTCCATCCTCCGAGTGTTCGACCGCTTCCGTCGCACTCCTGAACATTATCACGTAGGGGGCTTAAGGAAAGTATTAGTAAACACCCGATAAAGCAAGTGCCTCAGCTGACCTCAGCTACTGGTACACAAAGGTCTTTTACAAAGCACCACACTGTAGCAGGACGCACGAACGCGTGGCTGGGACAAAAAATTAAGCAAACCAGAGCTATTCTCGAAAGGTGGAGAAGGGCATAAGAGTATGTTTTTATATCAATCACTGTCCGGTCTTGAGAATTTCTTTATCCTTTTTTTGTTATAGAGGTAGCTAAATGTTTTTGACCAGAAGTGTTAAAAACTCATGAAAAAAGCGTGTATTTGCCTATGATTGGCAGTCACGAAGAAGAAAAAGCAGTAAACTAAGCGGGGGTTTCTAATGTGATCTCAGGTGATAAAACACAACAGTAATGCGGTAAATATTTCTGGCACTCTGTCAATTAAAACAACAGTCATGCTCAATTATTTTTCCTAATAGACAACTCACATAGCAGTCATTATCCGATTAAAACTTTGTTGTCGTCTCAACACAAGGCAGTCATGAGACCAGTGAGGAAATTCTCTTCTAACGGAACTGCTTCTGTTTCAAAAGCAACCTACCATGGAGAGATCGGGCAGATTCGGATCACGAGATTACTGAGCACTCGGAACAGTTTCGTTTTCCCGAAGGCATTGCGTGATGTCACTATTCCCGAACAAGTCTGCCATTCCCACTTAGTGATTCGGTTATTCTTGGGTTATTCGTTATTCTTCTTGCCTACATTTTGCCTCAATTATTTCAAGTATTCGTGTGTTTGTATTCTGAGTAGTACAGATTCTCAACGGATGAGCAATATCCAGCTGAGTTTATCAAGGATTTTTATTTCCGGGCGTCGTATATGTAACTGGCCATCTTCTCAAAGGAAGGAAGAGATGGCCAGAAGATCACATTAACTACTGGAAAGGAAAGTTGACACTTTGTTTCCCCAGGCATTTAACTACTTGGATGCGAATTCGATCAATCTATAACTGCAACCTTTCGTCATTTGAGGTCATGTAAGCATCACATGCTGTGGTCATTATCATCTAAGGATCGAATTACAACGCCGAGTCAACTGGAGCCTGAATCGGCTGTTGTTGCAGTATCTTTTGGGAAACGGTGTCTAAACTAAGGAACATGATGTCACTCTGTCGGGGATTGATGCCATTTTAACGTCATACAACATCCGCTGTTAACAAATGTGAGTTCAGATTCCAGAGGATTTCAAATGGACGTGTTCTATCCAGACACATCGTTGTGTGAGGGAGTTAGGCTAATCGAAAGTTTGTCTGGCGAGACGAAGTCTACCATGGCTTTGGAAGAAGAGGAATTGCTTCAGGAGAATATCCAAGAGTTACTCAGTTTACTTGCTTGTGTCAAGAATAATTCTAACGAAGTTGAAGTGGAGAACTGCATGCATTTACTCGCTGACAGTTTGGATGACGAAGTGGACGTAGACACTGAGCTCCTTGAAAGGAAACAAGCTCACTTAACTGTGCTAGACGTAATGCGTTCCCACGAAACAAGTCACAAAATTCAACTTTATTCCTGTTTTGTGCTACATAGGTTCGTGGAACTTAATCCGCGTGTTCAATCTGAACTACAGGAAAGAAAAGCTCACAGAGACATTTTAAAAATGATGAAACTTCATAGTAACAAAATGAATCAAGTTATAGGTTGTAAAATGTTGTCTGCGCTGTGCACTTCCACGAGAATGAGAAGCCTTGCATTGGACAGTCGTGCAGTAGATTTCGTTCTATCTGCAATGAGCTATTTTGGAGAGGACGAGGAATTTTATATACCTGCGTTTGAAGCTCTCACTCAACTACTGAGAGACGATCCGTCTGCACAGGAGGACTTGATTAACATGGAGGAGAAAAAACCGCCTCGAAAAAAATATCGCATTGTTGTGGAAACCATGGAGAAATTCGCTAAGTCAGGTAAGATAGATTGCCTCTAAATATTCAAGAAACTATTGTTCATTTTAACTCCAGTCTCGTCAAATGAGTTTGATACATCAAGTAATTTGCTGTGTCATGGCTTATACTATTTTGCGAAACGTAACGAAATTGTACTATTTTGCGAAACGAAACGAAACGAAACGAAATTTTGCGAAATGGCCTTTTTTCGCCTTTATTTACCAAAGATGCCCTCTTCGTCCGAAACAAAATGTTTCCACCAATAAAATGATCAATATTTCTAAGAGCCTGGTCACCTCTCATTTTTTGACCAAAATAGAACTCGTTTCGCAGAGTATTAATTTTGACAGAATTACTATTTTGCGAACTGGTGTTTTTTCACCTTTATTTAACAAATCTGTCCTCTTTGCCCGAAACAAAATCAAAGACAGCTACTTGTTTTTGTTCTCGATTGCTCTCTATTGGCTCGGAGTTTACTCTTTATTGTTGTGATAATTCTGTTTTCTATTCTGCTCTGTATTCCTTGTAGTTTGTTCTGTTCTATTTATGGTTGCTGCAACTCGATTTTATAGCTGACCAACAAGCCACATGCGTGACTGGCAATTCCAGCCGAACTCAATTAACGCTCGATGTTTGGTCACGCTGCTAGGAAAATACGTTATAAGGTGACTAGAGGTGACCAGGCTCTTAGAAATATTGATCATTTCATTAGTAGAAACATTTTATTTCGGACGAAGAGGACATATTTGCTAAATAAAGGTGAAAAAACGCCATTTCGCAAAATAGTAATTCTGTCAAAATTACTACTTGCAAAATGAGTTCAATGATGGTCAATAAAATGAGAGGTGACCAGGCTCTTACAAATATTGATCATTTTATTAGTGGAAATATTTTGCTTCGAAAGAACAGGACATATTTACTAAATGATTAAAGGTGAAAAAAACGCCATTTCGCAAAATAGTAATTTTGTCAAAATTACTACTTTGCGAAACGAGTTCTATTATGGTCAATAAAATGAGAGGTCACCAGCCTCTTAGTAATATTGATCATTTTATTAGTGGAAACATTTTGTTTCGGATGAAGAGGACATATTTGCTAAATAAAGGTGAAAAAAATGCCATTTCGCAAAATAGTAATTCTGTCAAAATTACTACTTTGCGAAACGAGTTCTGTTATGGTCAGTAAAATGAGAGGTCACCAAGCTCTTAGAAATATTGATCATTTTATTAGTGGAAACACTTTGTTTTGGATGAAGAGGAGATATTTGCTGAATAAAGATGAAAAAAACGCCATTTCGCAAAATAGTAATTCTGTCAAAATTACTACTTTGCGAAACGAGTACTATTATGGTTAATAAAATGAGAGTTGATTAGGCTCTTAGAAATATTGATCACTTTATTAGTGGACACATTTTGTTTCGGACGAAGAGGACATATTTGCAAAATAAAGGCGAAAAAAGGCCATTTCGCCAAATTTCGTTTCGTTTCGCAAAATAGTACAATTTTGTTTCGTTTCGCAAAATAGTATAAGCCCTGTGTCATCAATTGTTTAGAGATCAATCAGGGAATTTTGCTGTTTTCAGCTTGAAATATAAATGCAATATGTAGAAAATTTGATTATAACGTAAATCACTTAGTCATCTGTTTTCGTTTTTACTATGCAGTGCCTTTTTGTGCATGTTTCAGCCTATTCACGAAAGGTGTCTTGATTGAAAGAGTCTATAAATAACATGTGTGTAGTCTTGTCATGCAAAGTTGACCGCAAATGTCTTTAAAAAAAATTGCATGTGCGTGGTCTTGTCATGCAAAATTTACTGCGTCTTAAAAAAAAATAGCATGTGTTTAGTTTACATATGCAGTGTATATAAATGACTGCAACAGTCTTTTAGTAACATGGTTTCAATCCAGTCATGCAATGTTACCTGACTGCAAGAGCCTTTAAGGATATAGTGAACCTTCTTGGGTGTCCTTTGCAAACAAAATTTTTAATACACTATTTGAAGCATAAACACCATAAACTATATATCAATGGAAAAGTTATGAAATGCACTAACCTGCTAAAAATTGTTTCGTTTTAGGTTGATCCAACTGTAAACTGAATGGGGCATGACAGTCAGAAATGACAATATTTCTTTGAGCAAATTAATTGCATATCAAATCTGACTGCATAAATAAAAATTTTGCACAATTTCCATCCCAATGGGTCGGTCTTCAAAACTGTGTGGGGATTTGTTGATATTCTTATTAGTTGCAATTTATCTGTAAAGTTTGTAGATCAAAATTGTTACTGATATGTATTACATCGGAGACCATTGCAGGAGATTCATTTTGAAAAACCAAATTTCAAGACAATCTGTAAAGTTTACATGCCTTATTCAATTTTGGCTGTCCTCACAATTTTTTTCATCAAATTGTTTTCAAATTGAACAGCATGTTGTCCAATTACATACACTTATTTCTTGTCTTGAGCTGCTCTCAATAGGAGGGTGGGTAGAGGGTGTTGTGTGATGATTTCTGCATAAGGAGACTACCAAAGATTTTTGCATAAAGTATGGGGTTATTTGGAAATCTAGCCCTTCCTGCCCAGCTCAAATGATCTTTCATGATCCTAAACAAAAAGGCCTTTTGTGTTTTGCTTTAAAGGAGACATCCAGCAGCAAGGAATTCAGCTGATGTGTGTTCTAGCATCTTCAAACAAGAATTGCCAGGCTCTTGTTCATGGAAGAACATTCATGGTTGCCTTGGAAGCAATGAAGAAACATTGTGATCGCAGTGGAGTTCAAGCAGTGGGATGCAGACTACTTGTACTTTTGGCAGCCTTGGAGCCTCACAGAGCAATTCTAGTTCAGCAAAATGTTGTTTTAAATGTTATTCTTAGGGCATTACAACAGTTTAATAGTTGCATGGAGGTTCAGAAAAATGGCTTTACTGCTTTGGCTCTTCTCACAGAAGAACTAGACAATAAACTGCAAGGAAGTAAGTGAAGTGTTTTATGAAGCTTTTATTCAAACAGTAAGGACTCAAATCAATGCCTCATTGCTTGAAAGTTGATAGGAGCAATAGACTAGTTTAGACTTCAGTGTGATTGGTATGGGATAAATCATGTTAAGGGACTATATATTGTGTTTTTTGTGTAAGGAAATTCACTCACAGTGCCTCTCAGGGCATTGGAGTCTAAATGTGTACTGGCAAACTGCCAGTCTGTACTCTAGCTAAGAGGCCAATCCAGCCTTAGCTTATGCTGGTTCCCATAGCTTGAAGTGACTAGGGTATTACTGGTCTCCCTGGATGGGATGCCAGTTCATAGCAATGTTACCCCCTAGTGTTTCATCATACATCCCTGACATTTTTGTGGTACCCATTTATACTTCTGGAAGGAGAGAGTCACTGTGACCAGGTCTCCTACCCAACCTGGCGTTCAGCACACTAACCACTAACCACTTTGTTTCCCAGGGAAACCTGATTAGTGCTGGATGCTTAGCTGTGATAGACTAGCATTCCATCCTGAAGGAGTACAAATTACTCCTGTTGACTTCATTCTTCAGAAACTGAGATGATTTACACCCTTTTTCCTTGCTTTGGACCAAGGAAGCACAACCCTTTTTTTTTTTTTTTATCAAAGTCTATATGAGCCACAAACAGGGAATGGTTTTTAAGGTCTTGAGTTTTGTGGTCTTTAATCTCACCATTTAGCATCTTGAACAGGGTATCTTTCTAGGCAAGAGGTGTTCATAGGTTTGAGCGCTAACAGTTTTGCAGTCTAAAAATATGTTACTATGACCATAATATCCAGCTGTTTACCTGCACCAGCCAATTATTGCATGCGGCAAAAAAGAAAGTCAACAGATTACCCACACTGGTGGTAACCCTCACCTTAAGAGTAGAGAAAATTTGTACAAAAAGGCTCTCAACAAAATGCAAATTCATGGCCACATTTTGTGCAAGCGATCGTTCAACACCGTGTTGAATTATTGATTTCTCAAAAAAATCAATATCTCCAGTTCTACTGGGCTTAACAAGTCCCTTAAAATGGGAAAATTCTCTTCAGCTCAAGCTTGTGTTAACTGGAAATTTGTTACTGATGCGTTGGACACCCTTAGATTATTCTTGTCACCATCAAGGTTTTGTTGACATGTGTGCTAATAAAAATTTGTTCGTCACGCAACTAAGTGTGCGTGAAATAAACTTGAGTCGGCATCATGTTTTCGAGCCGCTTTGTGGCGCTCTTAATACATTAAAATTCATTTGAGAGGTGGAAACGCAGGTAGGTGAAATTTTTTTCAAACTAACTTCCAGTAGATTTCAAAATTGTCACAAAACCCCCACCTCTCTATTAACCGCAGTGGTGCATGTTTAGGGAAAAATCAACAGATTACCCAAGGGTAAACGGCCGGAAATTGCAATAATAATGTTGCTAAATTCAATTCTAAGTATTCTGTCTGAATGTGCCAGACATTTGTGTAAGGAGGTCTATTTGCTGAAATCTGTAACACTTGTCTTGATAAGAAACTTATTTTGTTTTAAACAGGGTCAGGGGATTTATTGCTTCAACAACATGCTACCTCCAAAACCTCCCTAAACAGCCAGTCCAAGAACTTCTTTGTCATTATTTATTTATTTCCATGGAGGGGGATGGAGGATTTTGGTTGTCACAATAGAGTTGACTGATCTCAACATAAGGCTCTGTTATGTTCTTCTGATCCACCTCTCTCCATAGTCCTCCCTTTACACTCCTATGGGGATGACTGATCCTACCTCCATTCCTCCCTGAAACCATGCAATCCCTTCCCCTAAATATTCCACCCCCTCCCCTAGGCAATAAACAATGACTGGTCCCTTATTTTTGCTCTTACATTTTGGGATGTACAGTCAAGTCTGGTTATATGCTCTTCTTTAGGATTGCAGAACTACAGCTGGACTCATCAAGTATTTACTGCTATGACAAGCCACTATGATAAACCAGAGGTCTTAATTGCAGCCTGTCATGCTCTGCAAGAATTGATTGACTTCTGTCCTGATGTCTTGACTGAAATAGGAGGAGATGGCAATGCCCTTCCCATACACAATTGTTGCATGGCTGCCTTGATGTTGCATGCAGATGACTTAGAGCTATGTGTGTCAGCATGCAGGGTCTTAGCATCCATCGTCAACATGTCCAACCCACTAAGGGAGGTGAGGTGTAAGAGATCAAAAGTCATGTTTCTCTCTTTAAAAGTTAAGGCTAACAAGAGTACCTTAGAACAGTTTGTATTTTAAATTTAGCCAAGCACTTGATCAAGAAGCATTTAATGATTAATTAACATAGGACAGTCTTGTATGAAAGTGATCCTCACAGTAATGAACCCTACTTATGTGGTAGTGGAAATAAGGCCTGAAAAAAGTTCAGGTCTGAACAGGTTTTGAATCCAAGACCTCTGCGATACTGGTGGAGTTTAACAACACCAAGTCTTTTAACCCTTCCACTCCCAAGATCTCATTGTATATTCTCCTATCAAACTATCACATATTTCTTTGAAAATAAGTTATGAGAATTGTTGGTTTGGTCAAGATAACATTTCCCTGATAAATCTGACCATTCCTAGGTACCTGCTTGCTTAATAATGTTTGGATATTGTAGGGAGAGGTTAAATGTTAATCACTTCTGGGAGCTAAATGCTAAATGGGTGAAAAATATCCTTTTTTCAGTCTTTGATGTCCAAAGGGTTATACATGCACATTGTCCAAGCAATGAAACAACACAAGACAGAACCACGAGTGCAACAGTGGAGCTGTAGAGGGCTGAGGGGATTGTCATTATCTGGGTTTCATCATAAAGAACTCTTGATTAACTGTGGAGTGTTAGAGCTGGTGTTTGACTGTACTTGGAGGTAAGCAGCATGCAAGGGTTATGAAACTAGATTGTGATATAATGGTAACTTAAAATAACAGCAAGATCCGGAAAAAATGTTTTTGTTCTACAGTGTTGAGCATTTAGCGGTGCTGTATTATTTTTCTCAACCTAAAGAACCAAACATGTTTAAGCTAAGACCAATCATGGCTTAAAGTACAGAATTTTTCTACTCTTGAGCATGCTGTGTTGGGTGTAGTTAATAAAAAGATTCCATGTTTCCGTACTTCTGTTCACTAATAGATCACAGATGACATCAAAATGTGGCAAGAACAAAAACTTGGTATACAAAGTGCAGCTGAGTGTATCAGTGTTTTCTTACCACGTTTTGATGTTTTTTATGATTTATTATTGAACAGACTCAAAGCAATATGGAATCTATGTGTTATATTTTAATAAAAAGCAAAATTGTAGTCAGTAGTGATGTCATCTATGTGTTTGTCCTTCAATAGATCATAAGTAAAAACCAATCAAAATGCTTGTGGGACTCAGCTTATCATATAACTCTGAGTTTCCAGTAGCTTGCTGTGATATGTATACTTGACATGATAAACTATTGTAGTTCCATTGTTTTGGAGCAATTTCAGTGGTCATTCATTGAAAATTGCTTTCAATTGTGAAATAAGTTCTTTTCAACTTTGCCTTTGTCCATGTAGGTTTAGAGATAACATTCTTGTCCAACAAGAAGCCATAGCATTGATTGCATGCTTAGCAACAGATGTTGAGCTTGTTTTACATCAGAGTGCTATTGAAGGGATTCATGGAACGATTTTGAATGCTATGAACTCCTTCCCAGATCAAGTGTCCCTTTGTGAGATCTCATTGGAAGCTTTGGGTGAGTGTTTTTGTGTGACAGCACAGCCTTGTATTAGTGTTACTAGCATAGCCACATACTAATATGATAGTTTTCAAGGGAGGACAGCCTTAATTGAAATAATTTTGAAATAATTAAATGCAGAGGATCAATACTTATTTTTAGAAATCTTATTCGAGAAAGTGACTCGAGGTTACAACGATGCAAAAATGGGTCAGCTTGAAAAACTTAATTTGCAGTAATACTGCAATAACTGATCGACATATCCTTGAATAAGTAAAGAATTTGTGCTGTTTCTTCTTGAGATATATACTTCTGACTCCTAATACTGTAAGGAAGAACAAACACTCTTTGCAAGACGCAGCTGAAATTCGTCTTTATCCTCTCCAGCTTGCATCACTGGTCTTAGACTTGGAGATGTGAAATCGAAGAACAGGCATACTGGCTTAATTTACCCCCGACAAATGTCCTTCATTTAAGAAAAATCGTACCTTTTCTGGCGTTCAAAATATCGCAGGAGTTCACGGATTGTGTCAAAGTCAACGGAATAGGCCGATAACAGGAACCGAAAAACACGTACATTTTATTTTTAGGTTAGTTGGTGCTTTTGCGCAAGCCATGACGGACCCCTCCTCTACCCCCCTCAAAGTGCTATTTCTTTGTTGTTTAGGTGTGCTTTCTGCTGCTGAAGAAGTTCCACATCTCCTCGTCAGTTCAGAGTATGGTGGTTTAAACATCATTTTTGACGCGATGATAAAACATCTGAACGAACCAGCCATACAACAGAAGGGGTGCATTCTTATTCAAGTGCTGGCGCCCTTTCTGTCTGATGAACATTGTCAAAAGGCAGTGTCCTCTGTCTTGGAGGCCATGTGTAAGTACCGAGAAGACAGAAGTGTTCAAGCCGAAGGGTGTGTAGCCATGCTGGTCATTGCTCAAATAGACGAGACAAAGAGTTCAATTTTAGTGAACAATTGTGCACATGAAAGGCTTTTCTTCATCTTGGAGAACTTTGTAGAGGAACCAGACCTAGTGTTCTTGGCCAGTGAGTGCATTCGGTATCTTGGTTTGGAACGCAACCTTAAAACACAAATGCTGTTGTCAGCATGTGCGGGTGGCCTTCTCAAAGGAGCCGATTGTCTGATCAAGAAAGGAGCAGATGTGAATGCTGGTCAAGGCGAGAACACACCTCTTTGTCGTGCGTGCAAAAACGGTGAAGAAGAAATGGTACGGTTGCTACTCACACAGGGAATTACAGACATTCAATGTGCTCTGAGGCTTTCCCTTGAGATGGGACACGATAACATTGTAGGACTGCTTCTTCAACATCTCGGTCACGACAAAGAGGCTGGTATCATAGCATTTAGCAAACTCAATCTGGGTGACTTACGCCCAGAATGGTTATCGCCTTCACTGTCGGGCTTTAAGTACTCTCCGCCAGATCTCTGTGCGGGTTGGCCTGAGTTCATCGACGACGCCAAGAGAACAATGGAACGAAGAGCTTCACTCAATAGTCGCCTGAGACGAAAAGGGAGTGAGTCGATGCTCAACAAGTCTCCCAGCGCTAGTTCTACCAACAGTAAGGCCGATTCATTCTCTCTCGATAGAGAGACCTCTTTCACCTTTGAGTCAATTGATTATTCTGATTCCGACTCCGACCTTGATTTTGATTTACCAGAGTTAAGTGAGGACGCACCACTGCGCGCACGTAGCATCAGTGGAGCTTCCCTGCCTTACAGCTCGCATGATCCTCGCATTGTGTCTCCCTTCTCCGACGATAATTGCGTCATATTACCCAGGAGTCCGCGAAAAGTATCAGTTGAGGAACCCACGCCCACTCGCCAGCGTCCGGTGTTGACAAGACGTTCAGCAAGCGACGTAAATCCCCCTGTGCAAAGTTTTAAAGACCATTTTTCTCGCAGTGTGTCCGACTCTGAGGAGGCTGATGCTATATCAGAATCTGGAGACGATGTACAGCAACCAGGGATGTTCAAAATGCCAAATGGAAGCTACGTCTACAGTTGGGACGCGCAGGAAAGTTATAGAGAACTGACTCTGAGTGCTCCCTGTCAGTTCGAAAGTGGAAAATTGTCGCATTTCGCAGCCCGCAAAGAAAGGCGTACTGCGAGAACGTTTGAAGAACGAAGAAAGCGAAGAGAGTCAATTAGAGTCCTATCCGCCAATGCAACCGTCCTTTCTATTGATGCTTCCAGCAACAGCATTGTTAGCATTGATCCTCTGGCAGACGCTTCCTTGCTACTTCTCGCTCATCTAGCAAAGGTTGAGAGGTTGGATCTAAGTCATAACCACTTGGAACGCTTTCCTCCTAAACTCTGTGATGCTATGCCTGTGTTAAGGCACGTGAATTTGAGTCACAACGAGTTTAAGGATTTTCCCTTCTGCTTTGTCCATGAGTCAAGCACGGTGAAATTACTGAACTTGTCGCACAACAAGATCGAGATGAAATCTTATCCTTCATTCCACGGGTCCAGCAGTATGATGCTAGAAAACTTGAATCTGTCGCACAACGGAGAAACTTGTTTTCCTGAGAGGCTAGGAGAGCTATTTCCAGGTTTAACAAGCTTGTATGTGTCGGGCAATAGCATAAAAAAGCTACCCGACTGCTCTCTGAACCTGCCACAGCTTAAAACATTGGACTTGTCAAATAATCAGCTGTCAGAGATTCCACCCGAGTTCTTTGCAGACAGTTCTGCTCTCGAAACTCTTTTGGCTTCAAATAATTTACTTTCAACATTACCTGAAGCTGCTGCCCCATCTTTGAAGAATTTAAAAACAGTTCGGTTGAACAAAAATAAGCTTGGGGAATCATCAACAAAGAAACAGTTTTCGATCTCTCGATTTTTTCTAAAGCTCCCCAATTTGAAGATTTTGGACCTTTCCAGCAACAATCTTGAAGACATCCCACCTCCCATCGCTTGGTCCACCCGGCAACTGAAGGAGCTCGTGCTAGCTGAAAACAAAATTAGGAAGTTGTCGTTGGAGGGTGTTGAAAATTGGTCATTTCTTGAAAGACTGATCTTGAGTAGCAACTGTTTAAAGCAAGTACCCGATGGAATCGGGGAATTGACATCCTTGACTTCGCTCGATTTGAGTCGAAATACCGGCATCACGCATCTGCCAGATGAAATGGGAAGATTATCCAATCTGTGGGATTTGCAGTTGGCTGATCTTAAGCTTGATTTGAATTCAGGTATTCTAGAAAGCAAAGCTCAAGAACTCATTGGGTTCTTGCACTCCAAGCTTAAGAACTCAGTGCCATATTACCGCATGAAGCTAGTTGTTGTTGGACAGGCAGGACGGGGAAAGACAGCCTTGTTGAGTTTGTTACGAGAACACAATGCTACAGGTCAACACCCAGATGTCACGATGAGAGAATGGTGCGTGAAAGATCCCAAAGCTGAGTGCAAGGAGTGTCATCGCAAAAGTGTAGACTATGTCTTCAGCACATGGGATCTCAAGGGTAGGGATGACTTATACAGCGCCTATCAGTGCCTTCTGTCATCGAGGACTTTGTTTCTTGTTGTTTTTGATGTTAGCAAAGGTACCAGTGAGATTGATGCTCTCAAGCCTTGGCTTCTCAACATACATGCTTGTGCACCTGAGGCATCGGTCATGCTCGTAGGCACGCACAAGGACAAAGTACCAAAGGATCGAGAATCGGAGGTATTCAAAGCTGTTACAGACAGAGCCCTTAGTATGTGTGCTGGCGCTGGCTTCCCCCAGATCACGAGCATCGTTGCGCTTGACTGCACTAAAGACACACCAGGAATGAAGGGTTTCCGTACAAACATCGTGCAGCTGGTAACAAAGTGTATGTGCAAGGGTTCCTCTTTGATTGGTCATACAGTGCCTCAGAACTTCGTGAAGCTGCAAGATTTGATACAGCGTTACATCCGTACCGAAGACTCGCGAAGAATCTTGACGATGGCTAAAATCCGGAAGCTCATTCAAGACAAAAAAATGTTCATGGATGATGCTGAGATCGAACAAGCCATCAAGTTCTTGAGTGAAGCAGGTACGTGCATAGCACTGCACGGGATTTGGGCAGATATAGAACTTAACTAGTAATTTCCCAAGATCTGACCTCTAATTCTCCCTTAAGCTGCTACACATTTCCTTTTAAATTATTTGCGGGAATTTGATGTCAGATCAGGATAACAACTTTTACCTGATTAGTTTGAGTATTCTCACCACCTGTTTTCTGGATAATGTATGGATATTTTAGGGAGAAGTTACATGTTAATCACTTTTGGGAGACAAAGGGTTAAAACGGCGTAAGATTTTACCATGAAACCTTTGCATCTCTATAGCAATTCTAAATACTTCTGCTTCTACGATTTGAATGATAATGACTTCTACTGACATTCGCTTCCTGGATTTTAAATTACGTGAATTTTGTAAAACTACCTGGACTATCGTTTTTGTTGTTAGTTATTAGACTGTTACTAGACTGTTACTGTTATTTATTTTCTTTCCTGTAGGAGTACTTATCCATATTGATGATCCAGCCTGCCGGCTGAACGATCTTCTCTTTGTTGTTCCCATATGGGTTTACAAGCTGTTAGCCCACGTGGTTACCCGAAGAGACGTTAAGAACGTCGATGGGATCATTGGAGTAGCGGAGCTTGAGAATCTAGTCCGAGAGGGAAGTGGTATAGTGAACGTCAATTCAGATCTCATGCCACAGATTCTTAGGTAAGCAGCATGTTAAGTTTTGCTTATGTAACAAGTTTTTTGCCACACCTCAATGCCTTCTACACTCTAAATGGTGTTCTAGTTATAGTTAAATAAGCAGCTTTAATGTTCGTAAAACTATTATAAAATTAATGATAATTTGGATTTTTCTTCAAATTGTTGAGAAAATTTATGCTTTTTCAGCTTGTATAATTGAACTTATGCATAAATAGCGGGCCCGATCATTCCAACTAGGCTCGTCGGAACGATAAAACTTAAGCTTAAAGATGAGGCTGGTTGGTCTAATTTACATGATTACAAAAGAATGCCAATCGAGTCCTCCATTTATACATACTGGCTATATTTACAATATCTTTTGCTCTTTCAGGCTTCTTGAACATTACTGTATTGCTCTTCCGCTTAGAGATGACAAATACATTTTGCCATCCTTGCTAAGCAAGAAACAACCATCACTCAGAATTCCTAATTCAGAGGGAAACGTTAGTCGTATGTACAAACTGGCCTATGTACCCCCCAGTTTCTGGCCTCGGCTCCTTACTAGGGTCCAGACGTTTGTTGCGAATTTGTACATGGACCACAGAGTGCGAATGGAAAGCCCTCTTGAACCTCAAGTGACGCAATGGAATTCAGGAGTTTATTTATACTGGGCAGACCAAGCATTCTGTTTAATATGTCAAGGTTTGACCAACCCCCACAGCGACACAGTGGTTACCAGTCCCCACAGCGATACAGTGGTGATTACAACGCCGAGCACAGTGCACGGAGCGAGAATCCTTGCTCATGTGGTGGATCATTTGGACACTTTACTAGAGGAGTGGTTCCCCGACTTGTGTAAGTGATGACGATATTATTAATAATGGTACTAATAACGATATATATATATATATATATATATTAACAATGATATCAATAGGAATGAAAAGGATAAGAACTCGGATGACGATAATTATGTTACGTTCTCAAAGTTGGGGGAAACTAGCTATCGAGCACAACACGCTCTCTAATACTGAACTGACTTTGTAAACTAACTAAATACTTCATAACAATAACGTTGATAATATGGTAATAATAAAAATGGTAATAATGACGATGATGATGATGATAATAATAATAATAATAATAATGAATAATAAGTAATAATGATAATAATAGTGATGAAAAGGATAAGAATACGGATAATGATAACACTAATACCTATGGCCAACTCGTGCACAAAGCACTTATTCTAGAGTTAAACATGGTTGTGAACTTGTAATTATTGATCTCGCGACAATGCAAGGTTGCTCTTATCTCAAAAGCCAAGCTTCCGTAAAGTAACAGAGTGATCCACAATTATGGTAACCATTCAACTCCACTGAATAATATACAGTCTAAATAACAAAGAACAAATTCAAATTTTTTCTAATTTAGACGCTGCAATGATCCAAATCTTTCTTCGCCTGCGTGAAACTACAACTAAACAACTCAAGCCAGTTGCCTTTCCGGCTGCATTTGTCATCATCTCGTTTCAAGCTTCGAGAATTCATCGATACCCCCCTGCTACTTACTTTGTTCCAAATTTTCGTTGTAATTACAGTACTCTTAATAAAACGAAACTCCTTCGAGTTGTTTGGTAAAATGGCTATCGACACATGCTTGTAATGAAAAATTTTACGTGACATTTCTGCAGGTAAATTAGATCCTGAAGGCTCGCCACTTGTCAAAAAGCAGGCTGAGTGCCCTGTGTGCAAGGGCGAGAAGGCCCACACATTTTCACTCAACGCTATAGCACAAGCTAGTGAAAATGAGTACGTCATGTGCCCCAACACGAAATTGCTGGTTGCCCTGCGCCAGATAGCTCCCGATGTTGTGATGGAAGATGTCGGCGATCAATACAGGATTGATGGAAGTAAACTGGAGTTGGACATAAAGCGAGCTAGGCTTCTCGGTGATGGCGCATTTGGACATGTCTACAGAGCTCGTTATAATGGCAAGCCTGTTGCTGCTAAGGTTTGTAATTATGGTTCATTCAAATAGAGAGTAAGAGATCTCAAGTTGGCTTTAATGTTTTTCAATCTAATTACTTTGGTGACTGTGGAGATGCGCATGCTCTGATATTTCAAGAAGGTCGTCTTATCTTGCTTCAGTCGCCCCGCGCGACTTTACCACATAATTTAGGGGCTAATTTTTAAGTTGACTTACGCAAGCTTTATTGAAACCGCAGGCTCAGTGAATGTTATGAAATACATTTTGACATTATTCACTTCTCTTTCAGCTAAAAATACTTAATGATAGTGATTAGAATTTAAGTAGTTACTTTGAAAGTCTTTTTTAAGATGTCGCCGTTTTACCTAATCTTCACAGGTGTTTCATGTTAGAAATGAGGACAACCCTCACACGTTACTTCGTCAAGAACTGATATTCTTACGTAAGCTTCGCCATTTGAGCATCATTACCTTGGTGGGAGTCTGCATGAGGCCATGGTCCCTGATATTGGAGATGGCGCCAATGGGATGTCTTGGTTCACTTTTAAGCAACGGGCAGGCACTTAGCAGAGGAATTCAACACAGAATCGCACTACAGGTTAGTGGGTCGGTAACCTAGCTATACCTACTTCCTCTCCTTTTGTTATAAATCAATTGTTAACTATTGACGCACTGGAGCTCGGGTCGAGAGGAAGCTGGGTCATTGTGTTGCTTTCTTGGGCAAGGACTTAACCCTCGCAGAGCCTCTCTCCACTCAGGAGTATCAAGAGCACCAGGAGTAGGGGATGATGAAAGAGTGCTTGGGGGTAACCTTGCAATGAACGAGAATCCCATCCTGGGGGAGTTGCATTAGTTTTAACGCTTCCTGCTGCAGAAGCTTGGATAAGCTCGGACTGGATGGGCCACTTGTTACGAGTGCAGACTTTTCCCACAGTCCTTTTTAAGTTACACAGCGCTTATAGGAGTAATTCCTGCAAAACTAGTTGACTGATACGCTTGCTTTATTCTAGGTAGCCGAAGGTTTGGTGTTTTTGCATCATCACATGATCGTGTACCGTGATTTAAAGCCAAACAACATCCTCATCTTCTCGCTGTCCGTCGCAAATTTGATCAACGCGAAGATATGTGATTATGGCGTCGCTCGATACGCCACACGATGCGGATTAACTGCCTCAGAAGGGACGCCTGGTTATCGAGCACCCGAAATCGCCCGAGGTGACGTCACTTACAACTTGGAAGCCGATTTGTACTCGTTTGGTATGTTCCTGTACGAGCTTGTAACCGGAGGAACCAAACCATTCGAAGACTTGCGCTTCCGGCACGAGCTTGACGCGGCCGTGTTGAAGGGTCGCGCTTTGGATCCTATCACGGCATCCCAATGCCCTCCATGGCCTGATTTTGCAGATCTTATTGCGCATGCCCTGGAGCCTTTGCCAAGTAGGAGAATATCAGCTGTCCAGGTGAAAGACAAGTTATAACTATTTTGCATGATTGATTTTTTTTTTTCTGGTTTTCACGTCATTCAAACCGTTGTCTTTTAACTTTTCTGTCACATTACGCTAGTTTTTGTCTAAGGATGTAATTGTGCAAAAGTGAACCATAGTAACCCATCGTCGTTCGTCATGTTTTGCTTCTCTTTTTAGGCCTACTCACGTCTGTGTGACCCCGAGCTGATCTGTTTAAAACGTGAAATCGCAGTTTGTAAGGGACAAACGGTGGAGTGCATGACCATCCGACACTTTACCGAAAATAACACGCCCAAACTGGAGGTGTGGGTTGGTAGTGGACAATCAGACAACCAAAGTGGTCAAGTGACCATTATCGACCTCTCTGAAATGGGTGTAGAGGTAATGAATTTACGATATCTCTATCATGTAACTTGAGAATAACCTTTTGCTTTTCACAATCTCATCGTAGCATGACACCCCGTCGTGAATTTCCGAGAGCTAGGTATTCTCTCAAGTTGTGTCAAAAAATGTACGGCTGATACCTATACTGAAGAATTCCCACCGTATGCGAGTTTTGATTTTGAACACCAAATATTGCACGTAGAAACCAGTGACCGAAATATTAAAATAGGAGCCGCGTGAAAACCCTCGGTGAATCAGTAAAATTTTCTATGTGGTTCATGTATCAATATTTTTGTTATTAACTGGTATAGAAAATGAACCCTTGACACTAATTTTTCACAGTTGAGACCTTTAAAACCGCCTTAAAAACGGCGGGTAACAAGAAATTGCCGAAGAGATATATATTTTGATTGTTAATTTTGAAAACTATTTCGATCTTCAAATGTCATTTTCAGTTGTAAATATCTGTCGTACAATTCGAGTTTCCACTGTGCAGTTCCGTTATAAAGTAATGTTTACCGTGCCATCTACGTTTCTTTTAGGGCTGCACAGGTACCTTTATTCGAGACAAACGGGTAAAGAGCATCCTAGCAGTGGAAAGCGACACTGTTTTGGCTGGTACTCAATCCGGAAAGATATGGGTGTTCGACGCCTGGGATCATAGGTGCCTGTTCGATCTGCCTAAGTTACCTCACGCCATTCTTTGCCTCAAACATTACAAAGACGACGAAGTGAATGTAGTGCTGGCGGGACTCGCCAATGGCCAGCTAGCTGTGTATAACAGTAGTAGTTTAAGAGTAGAAGACACCAGTCCAACGTATTTTGACCTATGTTACAGCAAGATCCTCAAGGGTACGTCCTGTGCAGACTGCAATATTCATCCTGTCGCCTGTATGGCTGTTGGCAAGAGGAGATTGCTTTGCGGATGCGGTAGTGAAATAGTGGTGCTCAGAGTCAAAAGGAATAAAGAGGCAAAAGTGGATAAAGGAGACAGCGGCGAAGTCGTCCTTGAAATTGAGCGCCGATGGGCTGTCAACGACAGGGCCAAGGGTCTCGTATTGAACATCGCCGTGGGCTCGTCGTTCGTTTGGATCTCAACTCGTGAGAGCCCAGTGGTGGAATGCTGGAATTTCTTCAAAGCTAAGTTTCTTGGCTCCATTGACTGTCTGACAATTCTCAGAGACGCTGGGTATACAGGCAATTTACGTGAAACACGAGTGCTTAGCCTTCTTCTTTCGCACAAGACGCTATGGGTTGGACTGGGTACTGGTCACGTGGTTCTCGTAGACCCTTCGACGCAGAAGCCTCTAAAGTTGATCCACCGTCACGTGTCTGCTGTACGGTGTCTCGCAGACACGCATAGCTCCTCATCTCCTAAATCGACGTCGTTGGTGTTGACGGGAGGAATGGGGTTCATTGAGAGACACGGCTGCGAGTGGAAGAAAGCTATTTCAGAGTGCGGATATACGCTCGTGTGGGAGGCAGATTTTATGGAACAGGCCAAACATCTGGAGGATCACATCCGTCGAAGGCGCGAACTTTCAAATACGCTCGTGGAATGAAAGATAATGTTTGAAAATTATGTGCTTGGCATGCGCGCGATTTGTCAAAGCGTGAGGGATTTAGACCGACACACGCGAGCGGAAAGTCACGCGCACGCATTTTACTCGCGTCCTTGCTGGAGGTTCGCGAAAATAATGAAAATGATGAAAATTTTGAAAATAGGGGCTTATATTATCAAAAACGGTAGTCATCGTCTAATTGGACAAGGTTATCTACATCACGTTATTCAAAGTAAGTTCAGGTGACGTTTAAAATTACCTATAATTTGAGAAAATTATTGTAGAAAATGATGATGAGTAAAATAAAAAAAATATATGACATAGAAAGCACCGAAATGTTATGAATACACCTGAAAAATAGATGGATTGTGAAGGTTGCAGAGGATTGAGAAGGACTGCAAACGACGGCCTTCCCCTTACCTTATTCCCGCACGCTAATTCCCTGCGTGATTAATTTAAATTCGAGAAAAAAATGAAAGGTGATTTTGACTACGTAGCTGCGCCACTTATTTAGCCAGTGGATAATACGACCGTAAGTGCTCTTTTAGAAGGGTAAACTGATCAGTTTCTGTCTTTATCACAATTGAGTGGGTACGTGATTTTTACAAGGTTACGACATTTGGAAAGTTCTGTTACAAGGACTCTATCAGAGGCCTTGTAGAGAACATTCTGATGTGATATTTTTAGGCTTTTAACATGTTTTGTGCAGGTCGGGTTTGTTTACATGCGAATTGCCGTTCTTTTATCAAGTAAAAGAGAGAGAGAGAGAATAGTGCAAGCTGGACTTGATAATTTTCTTTTCATGTTGTGAAGTTGTTGATGGATGATTCGTTTTCATCCTGTTTACAATCTTGGATATTACTAGTTAAATCATGGATCCTGCAGCTCTTTGGGTTGTGTGCTCTATATTTTTTTAAAATGCATGTTACAGACTATATGATTGTAAAATTTTCTGTGATACATAGCATAGAACACTCTGAGATACTAGAAACATTTTGAATATTAAGTAATAGCAGATAAAAGAAACTAAAGAATGGGAACTTTGCATCCTGTTTCGCTCATTTTACTTAATAAGTTTAACGTTTGCTCTTATCTGCTCTTTCATATAAACAACTAAGTGCATAGCATCAGGCATTCTGCCTGTTTTCTTATATTTTGTTAAATGAAGAGAAAAAGGTATAGGGAAACTGTTACCTATTTTTTTCTCACGTTTCAATCATCCCTGATTGGAAATAAAATGAGGGTTACCAGTTCTTATAGAAAAGGGACCTCTGTATAAATTATGAAATTCCCTATTAATGCGGTAAAAAAAACAAACAAACAAACCAAGAAATCAATGTGAAACATGATGTTTCCCAGTTGAAATTTAAAAACGATCTCTGGCAAAAATGATTTAAAACTACAAGCTTTCACTGCCCGAACTGCAGTCTTAGACAGGTAAAATGAATGATAGGCAAGCGATGAGAGAATTCTCTCATCGCTTGCTTATCATTCATTTTACCCGTTGAAGACTGCACTTCGGGCAGTCGAAAGCTCGCAGTTTTTAATCGTATTTGCCAGAGATCGTTTATAAATTTCAACTATCTTTCATCCTGGCTGTGGCCCTTCAATATTTTCAAGATGTTTCCTAGTAAAAACATAAAGATCTGAGTTCTTTTATCAAGAATTGGAGCTTTAACCCCGACTGGTACTTGGTGTTTTGTCACCAAAATATATTGATAACTAGGCCATTCACATGGATTCATAAAAAAACACTATACATTGCTGGGATTTGATTTTCATGTATTTTATGAACTGCTGTGAAAGACACATCATGACTGAATGTTCTTGTGGGAGCTACAATGGGTTACATTAGTAAACTTGACTATCAGAACATTGCTACTTACAAATTATATTAGCTTGTCACTAGTCTAATTGTCATACTATTGTAAATTTGTCGTTTTGTTTTCTTTGTTGCATCATCTTTAGAAAGGGCAGTCTATAGGTTTAAAAGTAGAGGGCAAATAGTAGGTGACCAGATTGTCAGTAACACGAAGTTGTTACATCGAATTAAGTGCAGCTTAAAATGTCACTGGCATCTCATGACGTTTGTAGGAACCTTTAGCAAATTCTAAAAGTGAAATGAAGCTGTTGCCAGGTAAATTACAAATTTAGTTCCGTTAACAACTGGGAAATGGCTTTGATGGTGCATCAACAATTGTACCATTTCTTATCAGTAAATATGGTAAGATATGGTGACAAGGATGGTAGATTAACTGTTGCTTTTGGCCAGCGACTGGCTCTCATCGATGGTTCTGATATTACATATAAACTTTACCTAGGGAAATAACAAAGCTAAAGGAAAAAAACCCAAAGGCTCAGGGTTTCAGAACCTTATGCTTGCTTAGAGTCACTAAATTATAGGTTGTTTCATGAATCAAGATCATGAAGAGAAAAGTGATAGGTACTTGTAAGAATAATGAATAACCAAGTCTACATGGGGTTTACTGAATACTGCTGTACAATTGAATCCACTTTGATTGGAAAAAATTACATGCACATATAGACTTGACTTCATGCTGTTTGACAAGTGATCAAGATGCACTATTGAAGTCATGCCTAAATATGATAGGAATGATATGTCACCCAATTTGACTGTAAGTGTTTAGGTCGGTCCTTATTGCTCGAAGCAAACAGAGATTTAAAAACTTTGCTTGCCTTAGGGTCTTCAGCCACAGTCTTGTGCTTTGAAAGTTCAGGAAGCTTTCCTTTTGACAAAGATGCCCCATTGAGCTTCGTCTCCTTAATTTTCCTATCATTTGACGATGAGGGCTCGTGCTCAGTTTTCAATCTCTTTGCTGGTTTTTCAGGGCCATCCTTTCTACTCTCGCCACACACACCGGTCCCTGAAGATTCCCCATTTGCCGTAGTTGTGGTCTCGGAGATCTTTGTCTTCTTGGCTTTCTTCTCCAATTTCGTTTTTAGGCGCTTCTCCTCCATTTTTGCCCTCATACCACTGACTTCATCTTCACTTCCGTTAATGACTACAACATCGTCATCAGAGAAAGCTTTTCCACATTTGTTACAAACAGTGGAAGGAACCTCCTTCAAGGCTCGCTCAGAGAAAACACAGCCACACTTCCACAGAAAGCAAAACTTGTATCTCCCGTTCATCTCGATGCCAACAACAGGACAGATAAAACGTGATGCTTGGAAATCTAAGTAACTGTCGGCTTGCTCCATGGACTTCTGTTCGAAGGCTGGGTTGTAAGTGAGGTTTAGCTCTTTTACATCTTTCAGACTCCTGATGTGGTTGGCGACATCTGAAGTTACAGATGATTTGTCGATCAGATATTCCAGCACTGCTTCTTTGTTGTACAAGTTTCCCAGTTCACAACATACTACTGGTTCCTGTAACTCGGCCTGACTCAGAGCACAATGGAACCACTTTGCGTTTAATTCGTAATTCTTCTCGACTTGCTCAGGCTTTTTCTTCATCCTAACGAGTTCATCTCGTCTGGGAATCGTACCACCATCGCATCCCATCGTAAGAGACTTCTGTCGGATGAGATTTTTCACAAAAGTCCTTTAAAAGTTCAAGTAATCTTCAAAAGCAAGATGGCGACGAGTGTGAGAGAATAATGACGTACTCCCGTCAGGTGTTGAAAACTAAAAACTGAGGCGCGGCTACTTGGCTATTAACAGAAAACAAAATGGACGCTTGCCTCAGCGTTGAGAGGGAATTAGAAAGGTTGTCGCAAAAATACAATAATATAAAGGAACATTCAGATACTTCGTTGGAAGAATTAACCAGCCAGATCTCAAATGTTCAAGAAGAGTTATCAAAAGGTGAGAAGGAAGCTATATTTGAGATTTTATTAATACTCGGGATTATTTTCCGAACTCGCTGTTACATGCAAGGTAAATATCGCCAGAACCGTTTGAGTGTTTTGTTTTAATTACTTAGATTTACAGGAAATTATATCACTACATCACTTGCATATACATAAAAAGCGTAATTGTTTAGTGAGCTGTACCTTTTTACGGTTGATTCCACCCTTACGCACCTTTCAATTTCCTTTTAGAATTACGTTAAATTTGCTAAGAAACCAAAACAGCTGTAGTGGCTCCTAACAAATGCACGGATTTCTTATTTTCCGCTAAAAAAATGTTTAAATTTCTAATTTGGAAGATGATTTTCAATATAGATCGACTGGACCAACTTTAAATTACCCGGCCACTTAAGTCCACCAAGAAAGAGGCATAACGCAGTAGACGCTATTCTTGTTCAATAACATGTAATGAGTGGCCGGGTATTCTGAAGTTTCTTTCATTCAAATAGAAACAGTTATTTTCCAGTTAATAGTTTCAATTCGTTGAACTTCAAGTGTGATTGATCACAAAAAAAGTAAGTAATCAATGAACTGACTCACAGTGCCAGTACAAAAGGAATTTAACAAGATTAAGCTGGAAAAAATACGTTTTAAGATAAAATTCAAGGAGAAACTGTGTAATTTATTTTTATTAGTAACTTCTGTTAATCATCCAGCCTTTCCTCCCATGATCTATTAGTAATTTTGTCAACCTAAAATTTTGAGAGAGGGTTGTGTAGCCTTTTCTCATCAACTCCATTCATTTTGGTGAGCTGGATTGAGGAATTGCTCTTGCAGAGTTTTCAAGTGAAGAAGTGATCCTTGCAGGTGAGCTGCAATTTATGAAATTGTAGAAAAGAAGCCTGAAAAAATGATTGCATTGAGATGAATCTTTACACGTATTTGTTTCATTTAAATGTGATCCAAGTTTTTCACTTTTTTCATTTTTATATGTAGTGAATAAAGATGATGAATTATCCCCATTACACCTTCACCTCCTTAACCAGTCCTCAAGGAAGATAAAAGACACAGTTTCAAAACTAGCCACAGAGCACAAAGAACTGCATGGTGGGATCTCAAAGATAGGGAAGGCTGTTGATAGAGTAAGTTGTAATGCATTGTAGCAGAGGAGAAAGTTTGTGCTATTTCAAGGCCTGGTGGCTCACAATTATTTCAGGACAGCTTTTAAAAAAACAGAACTTTACCTTGCAGAAATGTCTTAAAAGGTGTGATTGGCGCATCATGCAAACTTAAAGGAAAAATTTCTTCTTTGAAGAGAGAGTATTTTGCTGTTCAAATCAGCGAATTATGCCCAGTAGATCTGAAGATATGATTTTTTTAGTTCTTGCCATGACACCACAAAAGATGATAAACATCTCAAAGTAATTTCACAGTGGCACCTCCAGCAAGAAATCGAAAAAAGACTTTTCCTCACAGAAATATCTAAATAGGTTTGATCTGCACATCGTGGAAACTTTGAAGAAAAATTTTATTTAATTGAAATAATAACACTTTACCATTTCAATCAGCAACAAATGCTCAAAAGAGCCACTAAATTTGTGAAGCAAGCAAGGTCTGAAATATAATACCTTGAGTTTACAGTGACCCTATGGAATAGTGGAGTTGTAGAATGGCAGAATGTCACACAACACAGAATGCCTTGTTGTATGAACCAAAAGTCTCAACGAAAAAATGAATTGCATTGGAATAAGAAAATAAGCTATAATTAACTGGCAAAATCGAAGTTAACATTAAAAGAAGCCTAGTTTAATCATTATTGAAGCCTTGAGAATAGACTGATAGAGAAAGACTGAGGTTCTTGAGTTAGCCCCTACAAGTTATCATTGTTATTACTATTGTTATTATCATCATCATCGTCATTATTATTGTTATTATTTTTAATATGATTATTTGTTACCATTTGATTATTGTTTCAATGTCAATTAGTCACTACATTCTTGAATCATCTTTTCCTTGTAGAACAAGCCTGACTCATAAAATATGTGGGATGCAGCAGCAGTATCCAAATGCCACAGTTCATACCTCTTTAATATTACATGTAATAATTATTATTGATTGTTGCTTTCCAGAATTTTGTGATAGATAACACAACATGTAGCCAGCCAGGGGTGTTTGATGGTGAAAATGCATCTCTGCTGAATGAAGTTTTATGTGAGCATCTCTTACGACAAGGGAGATTAGATATCGCAGAAGAGTTAATAAAAGTAAGGATTTATCTGTTGAATCTGTAATCTTGTACTGTTCACTCTTCCTCTACATGTAGGATAACATTATTTTTAGGTTCCTGCTCCTTTGTGACCCACAGGTGATAGAGTGTATTTAAAAAGTGCCTCTTGGTTGGTGTCCAGGAAGATTATTTAATTTTGTATAATATGCATTGATTTTTATTATCTTTACTGCTGGCTCGTCCAGGATTTGTTTTGTGGTATGGCTACTTTTTTTTTTTTTTTTTTTAAGATTTTGCCCATACCTGATGTGAAGTAATGCACTTTTATGTGACAAGCCATTTTGCATTATTTAAATTTAGCTGAAATTACAGAAAAACCTCATTAACTTGAACTTGGTGAACTCATTTCCCTGGAATTACATTTTTCACCATTTGCTATCAGAGGCATTATTTGCAACTGTTTGAGGTATCTCTCCAAGAACTCAAACAGAATTTCTCTTTACATTATCAATAGAGAAAGGTGACCATAAAAAAAGAAAAACATTATTAGGGAATATTGTTGGATTTAACATGAAAATCCTAGATCTCAAGCGTTAAGAAAATAATGTATGACAGATACATTTGGTGCAGAGAATTGATCTTTAGATCTCAAGGGTGAAAGGGTTTAAAACTCATAAGGCATTTACATGTTAATGTTCTCAGCCATATTTACTACACTGTAACAAATATTACAGTCTGTTTTTGTTAACCCACACAACAGGAAGCAAATCTGCAGATAGATGATTCACGAAGAGAACCTTTCACCGAACTCAACAGAATCCTGGAGGCCTGCAGAGAGAGAAACTTAGACCCAGCTCTACAGTGAGTATATTGATTTCTTTTTCCAAAATTTACAGTGCATCCCCAATACCTGCAAGCCTTAGAATTGAGAGGTGCATCCTTTTAAATGTTGTTCCATGTAGCCTCTAGGAATTTGTTTGGTCTTCCTTTATGGGATGCTAGTCCAGCATAGTCTTTTGTTTATATTAGTTAGGACATGACTTACAGTATCAAGATAATCTGAAGACTACCAATGGTTTCATGCAATTTTTTTTATACTAAAAATTGCATTTTTCACATTTTGGAACTGTGGAAGTTAAGTGCAAGAATATGATACAATGACCAGCTAGGGCTGGCACTTAGACCCCCTCTCTGGATTCTAAGTTTCTGACCACTAGGCCAGATTGTTTTCCCCATGCATCACAACTGATACTGAAATTTGCTTTGAACAAGAAAAATCCAGGAAACTTATTCGATTGTTTTGAGTTAAGTTTTATGATAAATTTAATTCTTATTTCTTTTATCATAAAACTTAACTCAAAACAATTGAATAAGTTTCCTGGATTTTCCTTGTCCAAAGCAAATTTCAGTAGAAATCTATATTTATAGACATCTATATTTATACAGGATAGCCCCTTCAGTGTAGTAATTTACTTCATTCAGTAGTTTGTCAAACTCTAAATTTTTACATAGAATTGTTTTATTTTGAACAAGCTTTGTGGTATTCTTCTTCATACCGAATTATTTTTGTTTCCTCTTGATTTTGATATGACCTATCATTAAATTGTCAGTTTCTCTTTGTAAAGTAGCTTTTATTGATATTTGTTAACACCCTTTATATGTCAAGAAGGCATTTTTTTATGTTGATTACACATTGTTTGGCCATCATATTGAAAATAGCACAGTTAAAGTGAGTAAAGAAGCATTATTATTAGAGTAGACATCTATATTTATACAGGATAGCCCCTTCAGTGTAGTAAACACTGGTATCAAGGGGGGTCCTGTTACCCACCCATCCCACCTGTCCCACCCCAGGGGAGGAAATCCATCACACAGTAATCTCATGGGTGGGATATTAACGTCTCCTGCCCGTAACCCTGCAGGAGACGGGACCATTATTTATTCGTCCCTATCCGAGAAGACTAGAGAATATCTAACCATTTCTTGATGTTATAGAAAGGTAGCATATTCTTCTCAATTATTTTAAGACCCTGAGTGTTGGTCCAGCCGGGGGCTCGAACCCTCGACCTCCCGCACAACAGTCCAGCGATCTATCCATTGAGCTAACCGGGAGATGGTTAGCTCAGTGGATAGTATATACACATCTGGATGCCGATCCTAGTCACTCAGGCTAGGTGTTGACTATGGCTAGCCCAAGTCTTATTTACATACTAAAATTACTTTAAATTGCTAATCTGCTATAATTATAAAAGGAAAAAGTCACATAAAATCAATAATCTAAATAAATATTTAAAACCACATAAAAGCCTATCATAAAAACCATCATAAAAACTTGTACGAGTCCTTACAAAAATAGGTAGCTTGCTGACAGACATATGTGGGAGTTCTAAGCTAACTAAGAACCTTAAAGGTTCTGGCAATGTTCAGACTGGCGCTGGGACAGCTTTCTGCAACTGACGAAGGACTTCTCTCCCTCTCTTTGCAACTAACAATTCTCTAACACTTCTTCCAACATTCTTAGAGTATCCCCCTAAGACATCTACAATTAAGTTGACTTGATGTATCTTGATGTATCCCTTGCATCTACTCTGTTGGCTCTTACTTCTGTATTATACGCATATACAGGGAACAACCCAGTAAGCTGTAACTTGGTTGTTCTCATACACTGGTTTTGGGGAGTACCAAGGAGGGGTCATTTCTATTTAAACAATACAGTGTTTCTGTCAAGGAACTATCGGCTGATAGTTGCCCCACGGAAATTTGATGTTCTTAAAACAAATATTTGCCCAAGAAGCAAAGCTTCGAGGGCAAATATGCTAGTTTTAAGAACATCAAATTTCCAAGGGGCAACTATCAGACCGATAGTTCCGAGACATAAACACTCTATTGTTTTTATTGTTCACCACTAAATTTTCTTCTGCGCCTACAGCTTGTCACAAATGTCAATAATTCGCAACCGTACATTGGCTTAATAATACGTTATACCTGTCAGAATTGAAAAGTCACTGTTATTCCGATCTGCTTAACTTCGCGGCTGTCAAACTATTCAAAACTTTTCATGGATGAGTACTATCAATCCAGTTATTTTCCACAGATGGGCACTATCTATCTGGGTATTTTCCGCGGGCGGGCACTATGGGCTGATAGTGTCTCTCCACAGATGAACACTATCACGTCACATGATCGATTTAAACCAATAAGAACCAGATAAGAACCAGAGAGAATTTAGTGGTGAACTATAAAAGAAGATAGTCCTTAAACAACTCAAAGAAAATTATCTTAAGTGCTGCATTGTGCCTCGTAAGGTACTTTGTCTGGGCAAGTGCATTAAAACTTGCAAGTACATGCGCCACGGACTCTTCAGCTTACCCACACAATCTGCACGTGGCATCTAGGTCCTCCCGAGTCTTGGTCTTCCTGGAGTGGTACAGCTTGGTTGGCAATAGCTGCTCATGTAACTCGTTGATCTCTGCTATTGAGTGCATCGGAGCCATCTTCTGCTCCGAAAACCACGAGAAGCACTCTTTATCCAGATCTTCATCTTCCCATCTTGCCATCACTAACTTCCCCTGCCATCTTTGTTGTCGAATGTTCTCACAGTTCTTGTTAAGCACAACTTCATTGACCCACTGTCCAATCTTCCTCCCCTCTATACTCTCACCTTCATCTGTTGACCCTGATGGTAGCGGGTGCTGTAAAGCTAATTTCATGCCCAGCTCCCCTGCATACATTTGTGCATCTCTGACCAAGGAATGCCTACCCTTCTTCTCCGCTTTCTTCTCAAACTGCCTTAGTTGGATCTTCGTTTTGGTAAATCCTCACCGCTGCCTTGATTTTGGTAGCCTTATACTCTGTCTCGACCGACTTCAATCCTCGCCCACCGGCTTGTCTTGAGAGGTATAGCAGATCAGTTGACTCTAGTGGGTGCTTTCCTCCGTTCTCTGTAATAACCTTCCGCAATCTCTATCTATTCTTTGTAGCTCGGCAATAGGCCAAACCTGGGTCCACATAAAGTATGTGAGTACTGGTAGAGTGAATTGATTGGTTGCAACTACCTTAAAATGATCTGAAAGAGGGCTAGACCATATCACAGAGAGTCTCCGGGGATACGTCCTTGCTGCATTTTCAAGGACTAGAGTATCTCTTTGTTTAGTGTTTTCCAGTACACCAAGGAATTTGTACTGGGAGTCCTCTTCTAAACTCTTCACCAGCTCGTGTTCACCTACCAACATTCCAGTTGACTCTTGGAGTACTCCGCGTTTCACGTGTGCAACAGCACATTTCTTCTCATTCCAATGTAGCCCGATATCTTCCATGGCCTCTTTGACATCTCTCAACACTCTTTCCAACTTTCCTACTGAATCTCGCTGTCAATCTCCCTATCCACTTAGGAAAGCAATGTAAGCTAAACATTTCCCTCAGCCATCTATAGTCTACCAAGTCGTAGGCTTTCCGGACATAGATTCACGCCATGCTTACATTTCGTCGCCCACGCTGACTATCAAGACACAACATGCGGTCAATAAGTAAATTGTCTGTTGTCCCACTACAATTTTGCTTTGCCCCCACACTGTTCTCTCTCCATCAAAGTGTTATCTACCAAATGGCTGTCTACAGGCTTCACTACACATGACATGAACCACTTGTAGATAGTGTTGAGGCATGTAATAGGCCTCTGATTGGTACTTGTAAACTCACCTTGTTTTGGTAACAGCGAGGACTTTCCCTCAGCGAACCAGAACGGAATCTCTTGGTCTCCCTGTGCTATAGCCTGAAATGCTCTCGCGATCCCATCATGGACAACATTCACTCTCTTCCACCAATAGTTCACAATGCGGTCTGGGCCTGGGACTCTCCAGTTCCTCTTCTTCAATATCACTCTCTTAGCTTGCTCCGCGCATTACTCAAAAGGTCCCTCTGGTAGCTCCAGGATATTCTCCCTCATCATGCATCTGACCTCATCTAGCCACTCTGTTTCTATATTTCCATCCTCTTCTGACTCCCAAAGAGCCTTCCAGAAACTCAATGCCTCATCCACATCCATGAATAGTCTTTGAATTATTCCATTATTATTATTATTATTATTATTATTATTATTGTTATTATTATTATTATTATTATTATTATTAAGATATTTTTATTAGAATATCCAGCTAAATACAGTTTTGCGAATCTTGTTGTGGTTCTTAAACAAAAAAGGACATATTAGAATGCAGCTGAAGCATGTACATGAATATTCAATCTTCATCCTTGGATATAGCGTTTTGCAATCTTTAATCAAACTACAGAAAATAACTATAATCCATAAAACATTTTAAACATTTTCACTTACATTTTCACAATTCTTTGAGGTAACCATTATTGAAACAACTTACTTGGTGTTAATCAGATTTATCAGGTGGGTGTCAGCTCATTGCACTTTACTCCCTTCTATCATGGTGTCTAATAAGGGTGCTCGAAGAGTTACAACCTTTCAAGAACATTTACTCTTCAATTTTTGATACAAATTCCAATTTACGTTACATTGAGCAAGTCAATCCGATTCTGCCCTGAATTTTTTCTAAGTGGTAATATTTCTTTTAGTGTAAGCCAAATTTTTTAATTTTGAGAGAGTTAAATTGTCTGTGCTTTTTTGGTTTCTGTATCAGAACTGAGCTCTGACTTTACATTTATTGTGATTCAGATACATTTTTGTTTCATTTTTTTCAGATGGGCACAGTCCAGACACTTGGAACTCAAACTTAGGGGGAGTTCATTAGAGTTTAGATTACATAAGTTAAAATTTCTTGATCTTCTTAAAGAGGGTCGACACAAAGAAGCCCTTGAGTATTCAAAACAATTTGCAAGCTTTGCTTCAGACCATACTAAAGGTAAGATGAGCATTTAAAATTTTTTTGTTTTTGCACAACAACTTCATCAGTTTATGAGGCTCTTTTAAGTTTTCACAAGCTTTTCATCAAGCCACTGTGTTATACAGAGCACATCTTGTACTCTTTTCTCCTCAGATGTGCAACAGCTGATGGCTTGTCTCCTGTACAGCCACAAGGGTATTGAGAATTCACCATATGCTTCCCTGCTGGACCCAGTTCATTGGCTTGACATTTGTGATGTGTTTGCCAGGGATGCGTGTGCATTGTTAGGTTTGTCATTAGAGAGTCCCTTACAGGTGTGCATCACAGCTGGCAGTGTGGCACTGCCATCACTTCTTCAGATTAGACAAGTTATGCAGCAGCGACAGGTCACAGGTGTGTGGACTTCCAAAGATGAACTTCCGGTAAGTTTGTTTTTCATTTTTTTGTTTTTTTTGTTTTTTTTGCACTGCAGTAGAATAAGATGTGATTTTGGAATTTAACATCCAGTGTGTTTTTAGGACAACATGTTTTCACAATGTTTGCCACATATTGAGACTATTCAACTTCCTATCCTCAATGATCTTTTCATCTCCCCCTCCAATATACTGAGCCTCCAACCTTTTAACTAGTTTAAAAAAGCATTCTATCTTTTTCTTGGGAGAATCGTGCAAAATTTATTTGATAACAATGACTACATCTAATTCTTAGTTTTTGGGTGATTGATGAATTGTATGGAGCATCTTTTGGACTTTTATTTTCATGTATGGGTCAGTATGTTTACTACTTGTAAATTGATATATTGGCCATTCATGTTTGATATAATGGGAGACGTGGTTTGTTTTTGTAAGGTGTAAATTTGATGTACTAAGTCTCCAAAATGGATAAAGAAACTCGGCAGCTTATTGAGACTGTGTTCAGTGCTAATCCAGTGTCCAGATGTCAAATGACTTAATCCTTTCCAGTAGATTCTGACCTCGTTTCTGCAGAACTAAATGACTACTTACAGGGGATGAAAAGTAATTGAGGTTTTATTATTTTCAGGTTGAAGTTGACCTTGGCCCGCAGTATCGTTACCATTCACTGTTCGCCTGTCCCATTTTACGGCAGCAGTGTACAGATGCAAACCCTCCCGTTCGATTGTCATGTGGCCATGTGATCTCCAGAGATGCTCTCAACAAACTCACAAATGGAAACAAGTATGTCGGGACATGTTATGGGGCTACTTTCTTAAATCTATAGAACAGTCACAGTCTCTTTTATACTAGAGGCCAGAAGCCCAGTTACTTATTTATTGCTAGCTTAGCTCCAATATTAAGGGTCGGTTTTTTTTAAACAAAGTTTAGCCATTGTTTAACAAAACTTATAAACTATCTTCAATTTAGCCGAACCTTTTATCTGAACTTTTATTTTTGTGATCATTGTCAAGAGGGCCGGAAGTTAACATTGGAAATAACATTTATTTAATTGAATCAACCCTCTTATGGAGAATGGTTGAGGTCCACTACTTGCGTAAAACCGCGGTTTGTGTTAAACCTTTGTAAATAACCGGCTCTAAGATTTCCAGTGTAAATCTTGGAGCCTAAGATTGTCATCATTCTCTTTCAAAGGGAGCATTTCGTTCGAGTATCGTAAACCTAGAGCCAAAGTGATCTTACAAGCCAGTCATAGTAAAGGGAAAGAAAGGAAAATAAAGGAAACTTACTGGAGGAGAGGGAAAACGCCAATGACCAAGATGCCTTTGGTTTTCTTTTGGCATTAGATTGGTTGAATTGGGGTTGGTGAGTAATGGGAAACCAATCCAACTTAGATTACTGTAGACAATAGAACTGAGCGCCATTATGTTCTCTTACCAACTGAAAAGCTCATTGTTTTCTGTCACCAGAGTGAAGTGCCCTTATTGTCCGCTGGAGATGACTCCAGGCGATGCTCGACAAATCAATTTTTACTGAAAGACTTCATAAAGAAACGATTTACTTGTGTATTCTACGGTCCGCTGTTATAATCAAGCATATCATACGTGTCACTTGGTAAATGTTATGAAGAGATTTCGGTGCTAAACTCATGGACGGGGAATGTCTGATACCTAGTGGCGTGCTGACATTATCGACTCCAAGAAGGAGACAGTTAGACCGAAAGAAAAACTTCGTAGTCAGTCGCAAATTTTAATCGCCGATGTTTTCGAAACTACTTTATTTCCACGTACCATTTTCCGCTCTTACGATCAAGTAGGCCGTAGTCCACAAGGCAAATATGTTTTTTCCCTGAGAGAGCTTCGTGTTAGGGCTGGGGGTTTCGGGAAAGGGTCGGGGATTTTCAACCTTATGCGGCGTGGATAAATGGAAAACTAAACTCATAGTAAATAGTATTTGTGTTGTTTTGATCGTCATCGTCTTCGAAACAACTTCAAAGGGCCAACACCGTGCACCGTCAAAGTTCCCAAGGTTGGGGTCATTCAATGACGAGACTGATGGCTTCAGCCGAAGTTGTATGCACTTGACGATCAAGGAGCATTTCTAACATCAAATGTGTGGCATGTTTGCCTTATAAAACACTGATAATGATCTATGTCACCCATATCTAAATCTCTTCTAATATTTGTTTAAAATACGTATAATGCATGATCCTCGCAGTAGATAGCGCTATTTATGCAATAGCGAAAATCAGACCTGAAAAAAATCAGGCCTGTACAGGATTCGAACCACTGACCTCTGCGATACTAGTGCAGCGCTCCACCAATTGAGCTAACAAGCCAACTGGGAGCAGGCCGTTAACGGCAACGGCCGTTAACGGCCTGCTCCCAGTTGGCTTGTTAGCTCAATTGGTGGAGCGCTGCACTAGTATCGCAGAGGTCAGTGGTTCGAATCCTGTACAGGCCTGATTTTTTTCAGGTCTGATTTTCGCTATTGCATAAATAGCGCTATCTACTGCGAGGATCGTGCATCATACGTATCTAATACCGCAGTTCAAAATATATGAACTTCATATATTCATTGTATTTGTTTAAAATATAAATTGATTTGATTAGGAATCAGGAAATAGCTTTTTCACATTCTTTACTTCACGGTCAACCGCGAAATTTTCACCAAAGTATTGCCGTAGTTGCCGTAAGTCATTGCGTGCAAAACGTGCGAGGCTATGGCTGTTACGTGCGAGGCTATGACTGGGGAAATAAAGATGATTAAGGTATATCTATATTTAGGAAGCATGAAATGCATATTTCCCAGATATATTTGTAGCTTTTGTCGTAACTATGGCGCGAACAAATTAACGAAAACAAGAGTGTACATACTATATTAGATAGGAAGTTTGAGGTATACAGCACAGCAGCACTTCTGAGATGTTCGACTCTTTCGCAGCTGCGCGTAAAGGTGCTGTTTTCTTGTCTTTTTGTAAGATTCAGAGGTGTTTTAATGATAGGTGGCTTCTGTTATGTTGACATTATCAATGGTTTTAATCACTCTTTATCTGCTAATTATACAATTTTTTTTCACAGACTTCCAAAACCCTGAGGCTATCGTTTTTGTCTCATACAATTTCACTGTGATTTTCTCACGCTCTCAAATGATTTCCACCGTGTGATTTAATAATAACACTATTAAATTGGATTGTTCCAGAATTTACCTATAGGCTTAAAAGGAAATACCGTGTTTTCAGTTGGGTGGGTTGTTGACTCTCTTTGACAATACTGTTTATTGTGGTTGAGGCTAATTAAATACTTTTAGAGTCGGCAGTCCTTAATCGAGTTGGTATCAGTAGACCTTAACACTTCTAGGGTTTATTGGCTGGAAATAATGACTCCAGGCAAAAACATGCTTCAAGTTTGTTAGAGGGACAGTATATTAAATTTTATCCATGTGTGTCCTTTTGTGTTTATATTGCTCGATAACTAAGCTAACGTCTTTTTGTAATGTGCTGTTTCTTTGTTCCAAGCCATGGAAGTTTTCAGGGTGTCTTTTTAGAACACTTTTAATTTGTTTATGAATAAGATCGAAGTTCAGCTTGGTTCATTGCGTCAAGGGCGGAGAAACTGCTCGGGCAAATACAGTGGTGCTGAGGTGCCACAGCCGTGTCTGTTTTTTAATCTACCTGAAAAATCCTTGCACGATTAAACCGCAATCGGCCTTTCGGGGACGGTGTTTGGTGTAACAGTCGTCGACCACCAGAAATAAATTGTCCTGTAAAGAAGTCTGCAACGAAGTGAAGGTGGCTCCGAATACGTTCTTCCAGGCGGTTTGGAACTGTTGTCGGAATTCTTCGTTTTCTTTTTCAATTTTTGCGAACCTTTCCAAAACTTCTTCCGTTAAAATTTTCTTGGACGATAATGGGTTGACTTGGTGTCCGTTCCTCTTCATTTTCAGGCAGTTTGAAATTTCACTGCACCTGTCAACTTCAAGAAAAGAGTCTTGTCACCATTAGAATAGTTGAAGTCAGCGATGGCATAACTGGCACATTGGATAACTCAGTGCGTGTTATTTCGAGTTACGTATTTAGAGACCAGTTCACTTGAATAAATGCACATTGTTATCTTGATTGCGTGAAGTTAGGGTGGCTAAATAACACTCTTCGCACGCAAATTCTGGTTTGCCATTATCTGTGCGAGACCAATTATTTCACACTGTGAAAACCAGAACTAATATTAACTGCTACTGCTATTTTCCTGCTTTGTTCATCTAGTTCGTAGAGGAAAAGCTTTTATTTTGAGCGTCTTATTGAAGAAAGCAATGCTCTTAGAAGTCCATAGCTGGTGGATGTCGTAGGGACTTCCCATCAGATGTAGAAAAGGAAAACGTCGTTCATTTCAATTCTTTGCGTGTCCTGAATATTTATCAAATGTTTTCCTGGGTTGAGAATTGTCGGCCGGTTCAGTCATAGATAACTGAATTAGCCATAACAAAAAAATAGAAAAAACTAACAGGTTATTATTTCCTTCTAAAAGACCAATGAGCGCGGCGTTTTACTTTATGTTATTCCCACGCTATCGCGATTGCAATTCTAGGCTTTTATTTTCGTTCTTTCTTCGCGTCGTACCCGGCGGATACAAGGCCATATTGTGGTGCACGAATGTCTCTCGCTCTGCCCTTTTTGGTAATTTTCATATAAACATTTTAGACGTGTGAAATTTGAAATTGAAAACCCTTGGAAAGGTTTGGGAAGGCGAAACGTGAATTAATGGGCGTGAAAGTGATACTAAAACACCACAAGTGTTCCTCAGTTTTTATCAGTATCAATTAGCGGAAGTTAGTTGTTCCTCAGTGAAACGATGTGTTAAAGAAGATGAAAAGATCACGTATAAATTCATGAGACAGAGCCGTTTGGAAAATATCTTTTACCTACATCTATTATCAGATTTAATTTTTTCTGCTTCGTCGGAGGATGCCCCTGTCTTTTCATTAAGATTGTCGGCCACTTCTCTCTCAGTTCCCTCAAACACTTCACAATCTTTCGTTGTGACGCAATACAAATGTTTTGTCTTGTGACTTTCTTGCTGGAGTTTTTGGGTTAAAAGCGACCAAGAAAACAAACTCGGCACGTACGTCCAAATAATAGTCTGTTGTCTGACCAAGTTGTTCGTTATGGCACCTAAGATGGTTCGTATCTCATCAGCCAGCTTTTCCTTTCATTTGCCGACACACCATGTTGGTCGGTGTACATCATTTTCAATTAAAGATGAACGTTCAGGCACGTTTTATAAAATTCCATTATTTTTGCTATTTTAACGTTCACATAGTGTGCAGATGAGCCATTTGTTCTTCGAGTTTTCAAATTCAAGATTCAAGTAATGATACTGACACTAAGGTATCAGACACTATAACACTCTCTAAAGGAAAACTATAACAGTCAGTAGTCAAGATTTCTTATTTTTCGTTAATTTATGATAAGTACCATGATTAGTAATGGCTAAATTTAGAACAAAAGACTCGGTATGTAGATCATTGAATCAAGGCTACAGCTTGTATTGACCATCTGTTTTCTTTTTGTTTTTGTTTTTGAAAGCCTATTTTTTAATTCCTTTTTTTTGGCTTTGAAAACATATATCAGTTCAGTCTTGAACAATCGTAATACTTTCAGATAACTGTGGCAAAGTCGTTACGTTGTGTGATGTTGCAATTCATTTTTAAGTCAAATGAACTTTTCTCACAATTCTCTCGAGAGGTGTTTGCAGATTTATCCTATCAGATCGTTCTTGTTTTTCAATCTCTGAGAACAATGTTGATTTTGTGGCTAGTGAAACATATTCTGCTCTCACCTTTGCACGACAAACTACTTGAATTCTTACAGCTGAGTCGCCAAAGCTGAGCTATTTTAAACAAATCTATTTATCACGAACTTGATCCAATTCATTTGACTTCACCGGTTTTGATCATTTGCTTCCCAATTAGTTCGAAGCAATTCTTTAACGAGATTTGTGTCTTTGATTTTCGTTGAGTAAACCAAACGCAAGCAACTATTCTGCAGTCCATGCACGAAAAAAAATTATCATAGTTCATATGGTGCCACAAGGAAGGTATTGTCTAATTCTGTTTGGGCTGTCTGTTATCTTTTGGGTCATCCTCGGTGTAAAAACCTGACGAGGTCTACTTTGTTTCATGAGGTATTGTTTGTTTTGGTCCTAGAGGGCGGTCGATTTGTCCGAAAACAAATCCACTTTCATATCTACGGGCCTTGAGTTAGTTAGCGTTCTTCAATGAGCCTTCTTGTTTTTTAAAGCTAATTGGACCTCTACGGAATTGTTTATTTACACTTCATTCCAAAATAGATCATAGTTTTGTCAGGTTATGAGACGATGTGGAGCTAGAAATAGAGGAATGACGCGTTTCCGTTTCATCGACACAACAATAGGTCGAAACACTTCACCTCCGTTGGGTGGTGCTAAATTTAGATCGATTCAACTGGGCGGTGCTCCGTGCAGCTTGGCTGATTTAACACACAATCACGTCTCCGTCAGATAAGAACAAGACCAGATGTGCTGCAAATGATATTCTCATGACAAGCCGTCAAAAAGTTATTGGCGCTGACCTAATTGTCCATAAAAAGGCAAATTTCCCGCATTCTGCTTATTGGAGGTTACGCTGTTGTGAAATTAAGAGAAGTGGATCGCGAGTCTTTGCTATATACATTGAAAAGAAAACCAACCATGGCTGAAAAGACAGATTCTCGAAGAAGATCAAGCTCTAGTTTTTTGACTCGTTGTCTTTTGGAGGAATACGCCAGGCTGGATAACGAGGCGGCTGCGTATAAAACTCGCTACGAGAAGGCTTACATTGGTGCGTATGGATCCAAGGATGCGGCTCGTCTAACTCAAAACATACGCGATTTTTTACCAAGAGACTCTACTTTGGACTTGCACTCTCCGTGTGGAAGAGAAATTTGTCAAGTATTTGTGAGTTTTTTCGGCTGAGTTTGTCGCTTAGGAGGGGAATGGAAAATTCGCGTAAAAGTTGCAAGTGTTACTAAGGGCGGTTAGTTTAGCTGCCGAATCGATTCTCTTCGTCAGCTTCGACAGCGATGATAATCTTCAGCTGTTTTGATCGATACCACTTCATGTCATGGTGCATTGGTTTCTAGACTGAATAATCGTCGCGTTGCGACTGACCTATTCCGAGATTTATTTACGAGAACACAGACTTTATTTGGAAAACGCAACGTAAATCGTGAGG